TGCCATGGCGTAGTAAGTTCTTCTGTGAAGTTTTATAAGCTCCCAATACTGTCGTCACCCGGTCACCTGATGACCGCCTGAAACACCTCATAGTCTAAGCGATATGTCATCCTCCATCTCCAATAGCACCTTGTCAGTCCTGTCATTTCATTTTCTTCAATTTGAGACATATACTCTGTTGCCTTTTTCTAAGCCTACCTGTGACAAATGCGCTGGCCAATGTCGAAAACTTGTGCCTCGATCTTTTCACCTTGCTTTGCGGCAATATCACAAAACGGAGACAAAACGAAGCAGCAACCTACATGAAGAGATGGTGTATTGCTCTCTAGCCTCTGGTACCGGCAACTTTCTCGAAAAGTGCCTCTATGTTGGCGACCCTTTCAACAAGAAACGGAGACGCGCATCTATATAAAAGACCCCAAGGGTCTACGTCTCGCCGTCATGAAAACCCAACACCACCCCACCGGACCAGCGCTGAACCACAAGCCACGATGACCGGAAAACGTCAGAAGATTCTCGAGTTTTTCGAACGACACCACGGCCGACGCCTCAGGAATCAGCTGCTGCGGGTGTTCAAGACGCTCAACATCGGGCTGGCAGCGCTCCCGCCCGAGATCGCCGTGCAGGTCATCCTGTATGCGGATACAGACACGCTCCTCACACTCCGACGCACCTGCAAAGCCTTCCGCGACCTGGTCCAGGAGGAGGTCGTTGCGCGCTGTCGGGAGACGGTCGTCCCTCCGCAGCTGACCTACGACGCGATGATCATCGCCAACCAGCTTGGCAACCGGCGGAGCAGTCGGTATCTGTGGCATGAGAACCCGGTAAGCCAGCCCCTCGCTCGCCTGGTGGCCCAGGGCCGGTACGACGCGGTCCGGTTCTGTCTGGAAGACGCAGGGCTCGATGCTAACCTCTACGACCTCAGTGCCAGACCGTTGCTGCACATCGCCGCCTTCTACGCCCAGGTCCCCGTGGCCCAACTGCTGCTGCAGCGCGGGGCCGACATCTTCGCCACGGCGCGGGTCAACCGCAACACGGCGCTGGACTTCGCGGTGTGCCCTGAGCTCAGCCACGATGAATTCGGGCCGCCTCTGGGCTATGGGATTCGGACCTTTGCGCGGGACGCGATGGTGCGACTGCTTCTCTCCGAAGGGGCCCGCTACGCCACGAACGCCGGGCCCGGGGCCCTGCCCTACCTGTGTAGGATGCCGGATTACATCAACCTGCTTCGCCAAGCGTACGACAACGGCACGTATCTTAGCGATGAGGCGATCGCGCGTCAGCTGCTCCTATGCGATCTGATGCCTGTGCTGGTCCCGCCCGTTGTCGCCGCCTTGCCGGAGGCGCTGGACCCGGTGATCGTGACGGCATCGGGCAGGTCGGCGATCGAAGCGGCCTTGAGCCTGGGGCATATGGAGCTCGCCCTGGCGCTGATCAACTCCGGGTTCCCCTTGAATCTGGGGCTCAACGAAGACCAGTACCAGTACCCAGAGCTCTCGTACCCGTTGGACAACCTGCACCGCAACAACTTCCTCACGCATGTCTGGGACCGACAGGTTGTCATGGCTCTGCTGGCGCGGCCACAGCTCCAAGCGGCCGGGTTCGGACAGTGGATCATCCAGACCGGCCGGCGGGAGCATCTGATCCTCGATGAGCCTCTGAACCACCAGATCCGCACACGCAACTGGCCCATGGTCAACCAGATGTTGCGGATGGGCTGGGGCAATCCCGCGGGCTATGCCGAGGAGCTGCCATGAGTGTGGAACTGGACTTATTCAGACTGCGCTACATTGTGATTACCTGTGGCTTTTGCTTGTCATAATTGGTTAGTTTCAAATTTAGATTTCAACTTAGCTTCTCGAAGAATATTGTTTGAATCTCTCTTCAGCTTCATCTGTAGAGATAAAACCTGATCTTGTCTCCCACAGTATTGTCTTCAACGATGACTATCATGTGAAGTACTGTACTTCTCCGACCAGGCGTCTTCCCTGACGCAACAGGAACCAGAGCATCAACTATTTTCGGCATTTCATTTGTGAATAGAGACAAGATCAATCAAGTCGACGGTAGGAATCAACCGGAATGACATCATGTCCCAGAGAAGGGGAGGTCTAGGGCAAGCTGTCAGGGTTGGTGGGTCACGGGAGCTCCATCTGGCGCGGGCGTCATCCCATCTTGTCCCGTCTTGCCAAGTCAAAACAAGGAATTCACTTCCACTCCTCCACCACCAATGAGAATCCTAACGTGTCTTTTTCCTGGCCCCATCCATTGCCTTTGAGATCGGCATCTGTATATATGACCATGAGAAGGAGGTCTCATTCATTATCCCTGGAATTTATCATTGATTATATCGCCATGAAACCTCTTTTTTGATTCCATAGGACTCTCCTGGAGTCACTCCTAGCCAGAACGCGGCCGTGGCCTGCTTACTACCAAGACAAAGCAATCATGCCGGATAGCTCGTCAAGCCCTCACACGCAGCAGAAGAGGTCGCTTGGAGAGCGGCTTCGAAGCCCATTCTATCTGAGACCGGCCGACGACGATGAACCGCAAAACTGGTGGATAGCATCGACAGCAATCCCGCTCATAGCTGCCACAACCGCTCCCTTGGCGAATGTCATGTCCATCGTGGCGCTAGTGTCATCATGGAAGGTGACAGTTCTGAGCCAGACCGATTCGTTCGGGCAACCCATCCAGAAGTCCTTGGCAGACCCACGATGGTAAGTCATCTGTAACCTTCCGACTCACAGCGTCTAGCCCTAACCTGACTAGGTGCATAGCTCTCAATGCGACGTCGCTGGCATGCGGCTTGGTGGGTAACTTGTTCCTCCTGTTCAACTTCACCCGGACAGTGCGGTACATCATTGCGTTGCCTGTATCGATCATCCTCTGGTTTCTCTCAACCTCCATCTTGATCGGTATCACAGCCGCGATGCATGTCTATTCTCCTCCCGTACCTCCCAATGAGACGTACTCGCAGGCATACTGGAGTGCCGTGATCGCCGCAGTCCTGTACTTCATCCTCGGTGTGATACTACTGATCAACATGCTCGGATATGTTCTCGGACACTATCCGCAGTATTTCGCATTGACCGACGGCCAGCGCACGCTCATTCTGCAGACGACGGCTTTTGTGGTGTGGCTCATAATCGGGGCCGCGATTTTCAGCAATGTGATCGGCATCTCCTTCGCAGATGCGCTATACTTCTCGGACGTCACCATCCTCACGCTGGGATACGGCGACATCACCCCCACGACTCCGGTGGCAAGGGGTCTCGTCTTTCCGTACGCGGTCATCGGCATGATCATCCTGGGTCTCGTGGTCAACAGTGTCCTGCAGTTCGCGCACGACATCCAGTATAAACAAGTGATACGCAAGCACGTGGAACGCAAACGCCGAGCAACCGTCAGCCGCTCCGTGTCCATCGAGCCCGGGGCGACCTCCCAGCTCGAATACAAACCCCGGCGCTCCGGCCGGCCGGTCCGCACCACGATCGACGCCTTCGCCTTGATGGGTCGCCCGAAGCAGGTCGTCATGAAGGAGGAGAAAGACCGATTCGACGCGATGCGGGCCATCCAGCGGGAAACGCTCTTCTTCCGCCGATGGTACAACCTCGTGCTGAGCTTGATCATGTTTGGGATTGTCTGGACGATTGGCGCGGTGGCCTTCTGGCAGATGGAGAACATCACATACTTCCAAGCGCTCTACTTCGGCTTCTGCTCGCTCCTGACGATCGGGTACGGCGACATCACCCCGTCGACCAACGCCGCCAAACCCTTCTTCATCGTCTGGTCCCTCGTCGCCGTGCCCACCATGACCACGCTCATCTCCGAGATGAGCGACACCATCGTCGCGGGCTTCAAGCACGCCACGGACGTCGCGGCCGACTGGACCGTCCTCCCGCAATCCGGCCGCTACGCCAAGTTCGTCCGCAAGATCCCGCCGCTGTACACGGCCCTCAAGCACCGCGAAGAGCACAAGCGCGTCGCCGAGGGCTTCCCCATCGGGCCCGCCCCGGACGACGGGGGGGACCCGGAAATCGGCGCCAAGCGGGCCAGCGACTTGTCCCCGAGCACCAGCCCTCAGGACGGCGGCACCAAGCCCAAGGCAGAAACCATCGATCAGCTCGCGACCGAACCGGGCCCCGCAGATGCCGACGAAGGCCCCGTCTCCAACATCCGACTGGCGCAGAAGCTGGCGCTCGCGATCCAGCGCACGACGCGGGACGCCCTGAACGCGGAGCCGAAGCAGTACACGTACGAGGAATGGGTCGAGTTCACGCGGCTGATCCGGGCGACGGACCCGACGTCGAGCGTCGAGCTGCGCGAGGACGAGTACGGCGTGCTGAACTGGGACTGGATCGGCGAGACGAGCCCCATGCTGGCCAGCCAGACGGAGCCCGAGTGGGTGCTGCACCGGCTCTGCGAGAGCATGATCCGGTGTCTGGACGCGACGGCCAAGACCCGCGAGCGCGAGGAAGACGAGCCGACGCTGCGGAAGGAGCGCGCGATCAAGTTCGCGGATGGTTGATTTGGGGGTGGCTTTTTATCTTTAATGTACCTTTTCGGTATCTTTCCTGGTGCCCGTTATTCTCCTGCGTTGGTCCTGACCCCTGGACTCTCTGCATATATTCGATTCTACTGTATTCATATATTCGACTGATTTATCAATTGGACATAAGTTATTAATCAACGACCTCGACGGTGTATTGAACTTCCCCCCTTCCATTTTCTGACCATACCATACAAATCAATCGTATTTCACGGACTGTACAGTACTGTACCCTCGAACTTCAAACTCGTCATCCATCTCAACCCCAGATCCACAATCAACACTCAACAACCAAAGACCGAGAACACCGAGCATGCCGAGCATTTCTCTCCAGTCCTACAAAGCCACCCACCCAACCCAAGAACTTAACTACCAACCAACCCCTCTCTTACCCCGCCTCCACCTCCACCTCCCCCTCCACCTCCAGAACTCACCCTCCCCGTCACCCCGGACCCCGGACCGAACCCCGCATCCCGCATCCCGTATCCTGGTGGCACTGTGCTGTGCTGTGCTGTGCTGTGACGCTGTCTCACCTGCGAGGCGAGGCGAGGCGGGGTAAGTAACCCACCCACCTACCTACCTATAGGCTCGAGCTGACAAGCTGTCCAACAGATCATCAACCGCACGGGACAAGACAATATTTTCCGCTCCAGCTACAATAACCCAACCCAGCCATCTACCCACCTCCCCTCCCACTCTCATTCTCCGTTTTTTAAACAGTCGTCGCTGGACTTCTCCCGCATCCCCAGGTTCATTTTTGACTCTCCAGGGAAGCGATACATGGGATATACGATTGAGCTTGATACAGTTTACAGCCTGTACTCCACCCTGTACTTATCAACCATTAACCACCTCCAAAGATAAAGACAAGGACCACCAATCCTCCGCTCCAATACAACGCTCCTAAACCGTACTACCCTACCGCAAACACAAAAAAATGCCCCGTCTAGACGGCAAAGTCGCCATCGTAACCGGTACGTTCTCGTTCCCCCCATCCCCTACCCAACACCCAACACACACCCAACCCCAAACCAACTAACGCACCCCACGCAAAGGAGGAAGTTCCGGCTTCGGCGCGGCGATCGTGCGCCGCTTCCACCAAGAAGGCGCCCGGGTGATCATCGCGGACATCAATGCCGCGGCCGGGGCGGAGCTGGCAGCCACGGTGCCGACGGCGCTGCATTTCGAGCGGGTCGACGTGACGGTCGCGGCGGACTGGGCGCGGGCGGTGGCGGTGGCAGTCGAGAAATTCGGACGCGTGGATGTCTTGGTCAATAATGCGGGGACGACGTATCGGAATAAGGTATCCCCTTTGCTGTATTCGAAGAACAGGGAGGGGACGGGGTCATGCTGACAAGACTGCCAAACACAGCCAACGGTCGAGGTCACCGAGGCGGAGTGGGAGCGGGTTTTCACTGTCAACGTGAAGAGTATCTTTCTCGGGAGCCAGGTGTTTGTGAAGCGGCTGCTGGAGCAAGGGGGCGGGGGATCGATGATCAATATCTCGTCGACCGGGGCGACGAGGCCGCGGCCCGGGTTGGTGTGGTATAATGCGTCCAAGGGGGCGGTTTCGAATGTGAGTGTCCACAACCCCGTGGCTTTTGAGGAGAGTGGCGTCGATGGGTGGTGGCGGATGCTTGAAGGCACTGCTGATACTCCGGATCAATTGACGACAGGCAACCAAAGGTCTCGCGGCCGAGTATGGTCCGCACAATATCCGGGTCAACACCGTCTCGCCGTTGCTGTCGGGGACCGGATTGTTCTCCTTGTTCACCGGCATGGACGATACGCCCGAGAACCGGGACAAGTTCATCGGGAATGTGCCCCTGGGACGGCTGACGGAGGTGGACGACGTCGCCAACATGTGCGTGTATCTCGCGAGTGACGAGGGGAGCTTCGTCAATGGGGCGGAGATGATAATCGACGGAGGCAAGTGTATCTGAAGTTTTCCGGCGACGCGCGGGCTGGGGAGTGACTCGATCGAGCGCTCAAATCGTTAGTGAATTTGGTGGAGTACCAGCGCTCAATACCGAGCCCCCAGACAAACATTGTCATGCAAACCAATAAGATTGTTCATCCTGTCCACGAAGGCTCAAAAACAGAGAGATCCTCTTCCAGTAGCCCCATCATATGCTGATTGCCCGAGAACCAATTCCCCAGTTGACTAGTCGGTGGCATAGGAGCTTCAGTGTAGGGCCCCTCATTCCCAGACCTCATGACCCCGGATACAGCCCCGGCTCCCGCCGTGGAAGGCGCCGACGTCCACACGGCCCCGCCCTCTTGATTCGATGCAGGTGCAAGACCCAGCGCAGTTAGATAGGTATCGAACTCCTGCCCAACAGACACAAGGTTTTGATCCTCTCGTGCCTGCGCCTGTGCTTTGGCCTCAATGTACAGCCTCGCGACATTACTGAGCACCTGGCACAGGCGGTATAGCTTAGCGATAGCCTCCGAAAGAAAACAGTTCGGCTGCACGCAGAGCACAAACTCCTCCAGACGGTTCAGGTCCTCCCACGAGGACGTCGCTATTGTGTGGCAGAATAGCACCACAAACGGCACGAAGGGAGCGAAGAGAACCGTCCTGCAGGAACCTCTATGAGTATCTACGCAAAAAAACCTTGCTGGAAGCCAACGTACCAGTGGAGATAAGACGTTTTGAAATTCTCAGTCATTCCCTTGACCTCGATCATGGTCTCTTTCAGTAGTTCGAGTGCCTCCCGAGCCGTCGTGATGCATTCTTTGACGAATGTGCTTTGCGAGTCTCGCGATGGAGGAATCGCTCGATATATTAGGGTCATCACCGACTTTCGGGCAATCTTGTCCGAAATCATGTAGATCTCGTCCATGTGGGATAGCTTCTCAGTGTTCATGATGTGCTGTGATGGATCAGCCGTCTGCTCTGGCCCGCCGGAAGGTGGCACAACACATACATCAAATGGTGCATCAATAGTCTCCATCACTTGAGCAGCCAGCTGACGGGCATGCTCGGCTCTCTCGTTCTCCGGCTGCGACAATGCCGCGGGGCTGTATAATAGCTCGTACACTTGGCCTTGGATGGTGGCGAATTTAATCCATATCTGGAAAACGCTATTCCAGGGCTCCTCTGCTCCAATGACGTCGTTCGGCCCCGGCATGGTAATATCATAGTCTTGGATTGTTGACGCCCGCCCAAGGCGTAAAGATATCGCTTTGTCGAGGGCATAAACCGTCCAAAACAATTGGCGTCCTCTGGAAATGTCACTTTCGGGATCGGTTGGTGAAGCTCGATGGTACCCCAAAGTCTGACATAGTCGGGCTGCCGTAGAGGTCAATGTCAGAGCGAACGACGGCTTCGACATCTCGATCGCATAGAGGGCCTACATAGACAGCCATTAGTGTCCGCAACAGTTTGTCAAAAGAGCCCCCATCTAGAAGAGTCCTTACCCCCAACGCAAGAGCTTCGATATATTCCGCTCTGGCCGGCATACAGATACTCAAGTTGGCCAGCGCCGTTTCGATATTGGTTTGACAGAGCCGGAGATACCGCTGGTACTCGTCTCGCGTCTTCGGGTCCTCGACGGAGGAGATGCAGTCACTGATCACATAATAGAGACCTCCGTGGACGACGATGAACGCCGCGTCCGAGAACTCCTCGGTGGCAAAGTAGACCTCCCGACATTTCTCGATGAGTCGCTCGCACGTGAGGAACGGACAGACCCCCTGCAGAATGTTGGGTTTCTCTAGCGCTGGAGATGAGTGATGAGGGTGTATGCTATCGTTGCAGGGATGGACCGGTACCTTTGAACTTCCGGAGAAGCGACAGGACCACCTGCACGGGCGGCATGGCCAGGTCTCGGATCCCGGACCCCAGGATGCTCTTCTGGTTGGGGAAGCGGATCTCGCGGGCCGGCGAGTGCGCCTGGTGGTCCTGCATGCTGACCATCTGCTTCAAGGTCGAAAGCGCCGCCTGGATGGTCGGCGACGACACCTGTAGCGCGCTGCGCGAGACGGCCGTCTCCAGGAACTCGCTGGCGTAGGCGGAGTGCGCGGCGAGAGACGAGTTGCCCTCGAAGGCAGGGGTCGCCTCGGGGTCCTCGACGGGAGCCGGACCACTCGACGCATGGCCGGGGACGGAGGGACTCATGCGGCTGGAGATGGGCGTGGAGTGGTAGTACGGCTCCGGGACACTGCTGGTCGTCGCTGTGTTCGACCGAAGTTGGCGGAGCAGGTCCTCAATGCTCCCCAGGCGCTCCTCGATCAGATCGATCTTCCTTTCACTGGATGTGGGACACAGATCAGATCGGAACGAAAGACATACTCCAGGATGGTCGCACACATACTACTGACTAGAGATCAAGACCCGCTTCCGCGGCTCTTGAGGCTTCTGGCCTGCCCCGGTCGATCGGCAGATAATCTGTGAACTGCGACAGTTGGAGCACGGGGATCGCTTGTCGCAGCGTATCTGATAAGAAGACAGACACAGACAAGCAAGTCAGTGAGCCGACGCAAGGATATCAGGAAAGCGAGAAGCTGCATAGAGTTATGGCTAGACAGTTGGTCTCGTACCTTTCGCAAACGACATTGGTCGCACTGCAGGTAGGCAAGTAAAGTAAGCATGTGACCTGGTAACTAGCACGCAGCCGCAGCCGCAGCAACATCAACTGATTGACTTACTGCACGTCTGCCAAGTGACTCCTTCCCATCGCTCTCGGGACCCTCGGCCTCCAGATGATCCATAGCGTTGGAGAATGAATGGAGGAGGAATGTCGATAGCGTGCCTGATTGGGATGGGGGGCAGATTGCAGGTTGCTGTCATGGGGGAATTGGCAACTGGAAAGAAACGACATACAACCGTTTCGGAACCCGCGGGTGCCGCCCACTAAAAAAGATAGTGAACTTAACTAACTTAGTCCCTGAAACCTTTGGGTTGGAAAAATAACTATGGGTCTCGACTTCTGTCTTGGATTTAAATTCCCTCGCCTTTGCCCTTTCCTAAGGTTTCCTTCGACCCTGATCGGTGGATTACCTACTCTTTTACCCTGAGCCCCACACAATTGTCCCGTGTATGCTCAATAGGAATTGTGATTGCCTAGGAAACTAGGCATCATCATTAATATTACTCAAGCGAGGAGAAAGCACCATAGGAAGCGGTTAATTGATGAAAAAAATCTAGACCGATCAGCAGCGCTCTCGACATAGTACAGTACACTAGCTGCCGGTGAATTTGTCGCACCATCTATCTGCACATAAACCTCTATGCTAATATTTTTCTTTTCGGTCCATCGTCTATCGTCTATTGGTCGTGGTCACATCATATCTACGTGGAGAGGACCCCAGCATGGTCTCACTTCGTAGGAGTCGCGTGTGCACATCGCGGCCTAGATCAGGCCAGTCGCAGGTCGCCAGAACACTGATTCAGGCGGGAAATAAAGCGCCCGATCTGCCGGATGGCAAATGTCTCGGAACCAGAGAGGCTGTTGCTGCTGCTACTGCTGCCCAACTCCTTGCTTTCTGACACCTGCAGCTCGGGTTCGGAGGCCTCAGGCATCCGGTGGAAAAACCTGTCACATGAGGTAGGTCGCCCTTCACTTCTTGATTCCAATGACGGCCAGGTTGCGGGGACTCTCGTGGTAGTCGAAAACAGGTTCAACCCAGCAATCCTTGACGGAGTCGTGCTCTCGCAGAAACTGCCACCGGTCCACCACGATGATGGCCTCGACCAAGGCAGCACTGAAAGCCATCAAGCTCCATACCACGCTGAGGTTCTTTTTCGCGTACCAGTACTCTTCCACATAGCGGTTCAAATCCTCTTCAGTGAGGTCACCCATTCCAGCTTTCACCTTTTCCCCAAAGTGCGCATCACGGGAAAGCTTAGCCAAGGCAGCGGTAGCATAGGCGGGGAAGGAAACAAAAGCGGATTTGCGTAGAGAGCCCACAATCAAGGGGTTCCCTGCGTCCTCAGGTGCATCTGATTCGCCGTAGAGATCGTCAGGGATCTTGGGTTTTGCGACAACTCCGCGATCCACAAGAACACGCTGGAGAAGGCTTCGATAGAAGTGTCGAGTGAAAAAGTCCTCGCTGTCTTTCCGGCCCCAATTGTAAGGAGCTTGCAAGGACATGGACCGTGCTGTAATGTTCAGCTTGACACCTGTTCCGCTCTCATGCTCGTAATCTTCGAAGCGCTTTGACATAGGAAATCCATGGGGATCGTACGCGACGGCATCCTGCGTCAGGCGGGGATGCATGGATCGGAGGATAGGAAGCTTGTAGGTGGCAGGGCCTAGCCTCTCTGTAACTAAGTTGTAGCAGCAGCCGATCATAGCAATGGCTTTGACCGACGGGTTCAGGGTCAGAGAGCGGACACCGTGGTGCAGTAGGTTGCCACAAGAGTGGAGGGAGATGACCATGACCTTGGCGTCCACCGGCTTCTGGTCTGCCTTGGTACCATTGGTCGCAACTGCACTGTCATCCGTGGTTGTTTCGACAGCAGGCAGAGGAGCCTCGATCACATCTTTGATGATCGGCTCCAGATACCCGTCCTTGATCTCATGTTCGATATAGTCCATCGTGCCTCTCGGCTTGTTGGGATCATCCTCTTCTTCCACGGCCGCCTTGGGCGCGTTCCGATGGGGCTTGAAGCCAATCTCGCCGGGCGCGAGGCTGACGTCACGGAAGACGTTAATCATGGCCAGGTCCTCTTCTTCCCCGTTGGCAGTGGCTGTCGTTGGGTCCTCCTCCTGAGGCCTCTGCTCTGCAATGTTGGACTCCCCTGCATTGGGGCGCGACTCCACCGCTGCAGGCGACTCAGGTTCATCGCACACCTTGCATTTGGCAGCCTTCTTGTTGTACATGTTGACCTTTTTCTTCTCTTTCAGACGAGCATGCACATCCATGCCCTGCGCACCACTGATGAACTGATGCTTCCGCTCGATGGCCACGATGTGCCGGTGGTACGGCGCAGAGGCAAGGGTGCGACCCAGGTAGCTCTGTCCCGACCCGAAGTCCACGATATGTGTGATCGCATCGCCCCGTTGTTCGTCTACCGTTGTGCACAGCTTATCCACGTATTTAGAGAAGTGCGCGACCTCATGGTACTTCTTGACGTTCATCCCTACTGCAATATGTCTCGGGATCACAGGGGTCCCGGGCTGAGACGGAGTAAAATCCCGTCCCAGGCTCAGGCGCCGGATCTGGTGAATGTACTCCAGGAAATCCAGCGGGGGCAGACTACCGCCTCGCCACCCTCTTGCGTCCGCATCCAGTTCGTTACCCGTTCCGGCATGTTGGTCGAAGAGGGGCTGTAGATCGTCGCGAAGGAGCAAGTCTAGAATGTCCTGGACATCATGCTGATCGAAGAAGGCCCGCCAATTTTCCGGTAGCAGGGAGGTATAAAGGTCCGGCTCTCGTGTTAGGAAGTCAAGGATATGCACTCCGCCGCAGAGGTGCCTAAAGATGTCAGAGTTGGTAGCGAACGAAATCAAGGCCTCAACGTAGGCATCCGGATCTGTCCACTCGTCGGCGAGTGGGAGGGGCTTGGAGAAAATCATGCGTTAAGCGCGACTAGGATCGATATGCGGAATGGCATCAGACGGAGGTCGGCAGACCCTGACGAAGTTTGTTGGTTGGAGAAAATCCAATCGAGTAAGACTGTGACTCGACTCGAGAACCAACGTTGGGCGTCGAGGGAGAGAGGAAGGTAGGGAGGTAGGGAGGTGGGGAGGAGGTTGTTGTTGTTGTTGCGAAGCTGACAATCTGTTATCGTCCCAGAAATTTTTCGTGGCCGACCGATAGAGAGTCAAAGAGAGGCGGGGGAGAAGGGGGTTGAGCGAATTGGGTTTAGCCGCGGCCGGCTCCACCGATAAACAATTGTCGATAACTCCGTAGTGTGGAGAATGGAGGATGGAGATGCTCCCACGGCATTTCATCCAATCCACCCACCCACCTATTCATTCATCATTCATTCGTTCATTCATCCTTCCAAACTACCAGTATCGCTGACGTTACAAGCTTGTCTTGCAACTTGAAGACTCGAGATGGTCTCGTTCTCGATACGTGACAGACTTCCTCGCGTGACGATGTCGGATCTTCCCCCTCGGTTCCCCTGGCGCTATTGAAGCCACTATCAGCAACACCGCCGATCCCATGATCAGACGGGCTTGATTATTTCCCCAGGCGTGTCATGCTATTACATCAGAACAGACACTAGTTGGGAACGGATTATTGTGCTACGTGTGTCTTAACATGAAGACCGATAGACCGTGCTGGCAGCCCCTTCTCCTTGTTCGCATTTCGCGTGAAACGTGGTCGATCTTTACTTCTGGCCCTCACTATCGCTCCTGCGATGACCGCACCGGACATGGGACCACGTATTATATAAGTTTCCAAGCTGACCAGTCAGCTTACGGTCGTTCGGCGATTGCATCCTGCACCCTGTCTACTCAGCCTTTTCCGGATGCATCGCTGCAGCCAAGCACACGACTGATAATCTGCCAACGCGTCACACCGTCGACGCTTTGTTTTCCGCTAAACGGCAATTAACCCCCCTTACAGCCTGGGCAAACAGCCTCTTTCCCCCCCCCCCCCACGACGGCCCTGAGTAGTCCTTTTATAAAAAACCCAATGCCACTCCCTCTCGCCTAGATTCGGAAAGGCTTGGATGGTCCAGGTTAGCAGCAAGCAGTTGCTACGGTAAGTCGGGATGATCTTCCGCCGAAAGACCATACGCAGCCAAGCACCCACTCCGCAGGTGCGAGGGAGATCCCCCACGCTGATTCGCCTCGTCAAACAGATGCTATCCCCATCTCTGCGGCGGGGAGCACCTCTTCCCTTCGGCTTTGTAGCCGATGTCCTCTTTCACATCATCATCAGCGGCGAGGTGACCACGATACTCAGTCTCTGCCGGCTGAACAAGGCCACGTATGAGACCATCAAGATCCTTGAGCCGCATATCTGCACCTGGTTCATGCGATGCCACGGCATTGACACCTTCGATCCCATCCTCACCATGAGCCCGTGGACCGGGGAGCAGACCCCGTTGACGATTCACACTCTGGTCCGGTTTCTCCATCGGCATAACATCGCCCGAGACTTATCGCGACATCTTGTGCCCGCCGTATGGGGCCCTTTCTGCGAGGAAGACAACACAGAGATGAATTTCGAGGCAGAACTACGGCTGGCGCAACGGCTGGAACGGGGCTTACACGTTCTGTTTCAGATGGCCGATATCGCTCGGGATACGGAGAGGCTCATGCCGCCGAAGAAGCCCCTGGCGCCAGTGGTCAGCGGGCGGCTGTTTGTTCTGGGAAAGATGCTGGACGAGTACGACGAGCTTCCGCCGCAGAGACGAAAGATGGTGACGTTCGAAGAATACACCAACCATGTGTATACCGTGTTAAAATGGGGCTATGTGGAAGCGGACGTGGGCAGACGCCGGCTGGAATTCCGCGGCTGGCTCGACGAACAGACCGAGATCGACTTCCACGCGGCGCTGCGGATGTTGCGGGAGCTGATGGAACGCATGCTCCTGCGCCACGGCCCGAAGGACTGGCACCGGGACGCACGGAACGAATACAGCGTCATCTCGTGGTTCATCCTGAAGCAGCCCCCACGGTCCCTGGCGAAATTGTTCCTGGACCCTCAGAACGAATGCTGCGAACTGGAGGTGAAGGGCGCGGACTGCGGCGCAGCCAGGAAGTGCCATTTCTCCGACCCGCTGGACAACTACTGGAAGGCCTGGAAGAACGTCCCCGACCTCGGCTGTCAGGACTGTGACTGCAAGCGACGCGTGCGCAGCTGGAGCGTGAAACCGGCCCTGATCGATGCCCGCGGACGGGAGTTCAACCGCTGCGCGGAGCGATACCTGAGGGAGATGTGGGGCCAGCGACACGTCGGCCTCCATCGTGCTTTTACATTGGGGGTGTTCAGTGCGGTAATAGGGTAGCAGGAGTTGACATGTTTGGTATGATTTGTGCGATAGACCTGGTGTCAGGTAGCAAGAATGCCACTGTGATGAGTACTACAGCGTGCCAGAGACACGCATAGCATTTTATCTACACATCCATCCCTTCGTTTTGCTTCACTCATACAATCCCTCCAGCTACCCACCCTGGACCCTGCAGCATAGAATATCCAATCAAGGCCCAGCCGTGCTCGCACAGAGTACCCCACAACTTCTGCGCGTGGAAACCTAAAGCCACCTCAGGCTTCTTTCCTGCACGGTGATCTCCCACCCACCCTCCCCTAGAATTCCGTGCCATGCATGGCATAGCACTTACCCCGCCGCCACTAGCAAATAGAACCCTAAGCCCATATTCATAACCACGAAGAAGTCAATTCCAGCCATGAACCAGCTACCCCACAAGGGTCCAGATGCCACTACCCCTGGGGTTAGGTCGCTCTAACGATTAGGCCTCATTCTAGTGACCAGTGAAAGCAACGGTTCAGCTCGAGAGATTGAGGAGGGAATAGACTGCTCCCGGATTAGAGGGGGGGATCGAATCTCGAACCGATCACTGGGACTCAGATCTTTCCCCGTTGATGGATTCATCTGCCGTCGTTGAGGTTGGAGGATTACGGCCTCAACCTTGGGAGTGGGGTTGGCTCGCTCGGCTCCAAGGCCAAGGTGAACCCTCGCGGTTGGTGTGAGGCATGATGCTCAGCCCCTCGAGCCTGTAATTGTGCTTGGACCAAGCACGGCATCGGGAGTAGTAAGTCCAGTCTGATAAAATGAGCTATTTCTTTCTCGAATTGACTTCGTCAGGACTCGCAAGTACTTTAGGTAGGTAGGTAGGTGATACCGCTGTCGGAACTTCGCACGCATCCGCCACTCCCGCAGAACAAACCCGGCGTAGCAAAGCTCCAACATCCCACAAAAAGCCACGCAGGCAGAGGCAAAAAGGGTCTAAGCATCACCATCTAACCCCTCTCCAGCTCTCAGTCAAACATACGAAACGAACCCAGGAGAATCATTCGGCGGGAGCGATATCCGCCGCCCATTTAAACTTCCTCTTCCTCCGCTCACGCCTCCAAACCCTTAGTCCGGTAACCCGTGATTTTTATCTAGAGCGGGCAAACAAACAAACCCACCTGCAGTACGCAGTATGGCCAGGTCCAAGGAGCACTCTTCGTAATGGAAACCGTGGTTCAGATCTTGAATGACGGTGACCAGCCCGATCTCTCGGGTGGAGGAACCGATGGATCGACGGGGAGGCTCGTATTTATATAGGTTCCCTCTACCACGATTCTGGCACCGATTCCACCCACGATGGGATTCGTGTCGATCTGCAGCTGGGGGTGGTTCCTGGGATCGATGGGGGCTAGTAAGGGAAGAAAGAGGATTTGGGCCATGGGTGCCGGGTTGAGCAGATGACTTGCTGGACTTTTTTGCTGGCCTGGGGTTTGGGTCCCATGGGCTTGGGCTGGAAGTCGGTTCGTATTGATTTTGAGAGGAGATGGAGGAGGATGGGTAGAGGGTGAGGGGATTTGCTCTTGGGTTGGTGGGTTGTGTATAAGAAGGGTGTGGATCTCTCAGACATTTCCTCGCTCATCACAGCTTGAAGAATGAGTCCAAGATAACTAACTACATCACACTAACTTACATCTGACAAACCATCTTCCATCGCTCGACTGTTGCACAACATGCAGCTCAAGACCATCTTCGGCGTGCTCGCCCTCGCCAGCATGGGGCTGACCTCCCCGACCCCGAACCCAGACGTCGAGGGTTTCGAGGAACGGGACCTCGAAGAGCGTCAGCTCGGTCAGACCTACAAGTACTGCTGCACAGGCAAGATTGATACCAAGGACTGGGTCATCAAAGTCCTATGGTTTGAGATCAAGGTTGCCGGGGTGGGAACTGGCTGCGTGAAATCCAGCTCTTGTTCCAAGATTACGTGCTACAGCAACTTCCCTCTTGATGTAAGATCCTCTCTTCTACTCTATATCCACACAGTGGCAAAGGAGGTCTGTGCTAATGGTTGGTGGAAACAACAGAAAAACAAACAGGTGAACCCCCTGCCGGGCATCTCCGTACCTAGCCTCTTGCCGAGAGATAGATATCCCTACTGCTCAATAGCCCGCATCATTACGGAGGAACTAACTTGGAATGGAGCAGATCGTCTGCAACTATTTCGGTTGAGTGTTTTCGGCGGAGAAGTGCAGCTGTGCAGTGGTGCTGTTGTGGGCTGGTCCGCAATCGTAATGGTTTATTCTTCAATGCTGCGACGACTGATAACAGGATTTATGGTGTATGATGCAACGCTCTTGAGAGTTTTGGGGGGGTGGGAAAAGTCTGTGACTTACCAGTTTCTACTTCATTTTGTATAAAACCTATGTTTAGCAATTTTCAGCCATCAGCTGGTTCTATCTCTCCTTCTCTTGTCAGAGACTTTCGGTTTCTCAATTGTAGTCGTCATGTTGTAAGGTTGATGTTGATTTGTAGTATGATTAAAAAGTTTCTGGTGTCGAGATTAGTTCTCTACACTTGACCAGCTAAGTGGGCCCTTTAGTGTATAACTGTGGTTATCGTGCTGTATAAGTTGATTCGCAGTATGAATTCAGTTTCGTCTGGTGTGAATTGGTTTCTCTCTACACTCTACTCTCTGTACACATTTCTAGCCAAGTCATAATTCTATTGGTCATTAATCTAGCATATTAATATATCCTTCCCCTAAACAACTACCCCCGATCCTCCCCAATCCAACCATCTAGCAATAAGTGGCATTGCTCTTGATAGGCCCGATGACCCCCTCATCCAACAACAGCTCGTAACTCCAGTAGTCCTGCTGGGTGCCCTGCCCGTCGACCTTGGCGGTGGACTTGTGCTTGATGTTCCAGAAGCTGCCGCCCTGGACATAGTAGGACCAGGCGTAGCGCTGGGTCTCGAAGAGGGTGCGGCGGTTGGCGTAGGTGTTGCTGTAGAGGGTCTGGAGGGCCCACTCGCCCACGAAGACGGGGAACTTGCCGTCGCCGCCCAGCACGCTGGCCTGGCCGCAGATGGCGCCCTGCGCCCACTGCGAGTACACGCCGGAGGCGGCGAAGTAGTAGACGTGGGTGTCGAAGACCAGGTTGGCGGCCGCGTCGAAGTGGCCGGACCAGTGCTCCTCGCCCAGGAAGCAGTCCTGGAGCATGACGGGGACGGCCGGCACGGCGCTGGCCGCGATCCGCTCCAGCACCCCCTTCGTGTACTGCACGATCCACGCGGTGCCGGCGTCCGTGAGCGTCTCCGGGCTGGCGAAGCCCGCCGGGTTGTCCGAGGCCTCGTTGAGCGGGGCCAGCGTGAACGCCCATGCGTTCGTGCCCGTGCTGGCGATGAAGTCCACCACTGCGCTGACCGCGCTGTAGCTGTACTGCAGGTTCGTCGTGTTGAAGAACCACCCGTCGTGCCCCGCGGCTTCGCCGATGTCCAGGCTGTTCACGCCCCCGGGGAGCGAGTGCAGGCCGATGATCACCCGCATGTGGTATTTCTCGATCGCGTAGGTCGCGATGTGCCGGAGGTAGGTCTGCTGGTTGCCGTGGTAGAGCTGCGAGCCGGGGACCTGAACCCAGGCCGCGTAGGTGGTCGGGATGCGGAGGGTGTTGACGCCTTTTGTCAGTGGGTTAGTATTGGTTGAGGTGTAGGAGCGGGAGTCGGAGATGAAAGCAAAGGGGAAAAAACGTACCGACTGCGGCGACGCGGTCAATGTCGTCGGTGGTGATGTAGGTGGCATAGCGCTCCTCGAGGACAGGCCCGCACTGCGAGCCCAGGGTCTTGCAGAAGGTCCATTCGTCGGTCGCGTTGGGAGCGTACGAGTCCCACCACACCTGATCGAAGACCTGTTCCTGCTCCAGCCAGCCGCCCAGGTTCACGCCGTTGGCCTTGAACTTCCTCCAGTCGGTGAACTCGCCCGCAGCTTGGGTGGCTGTGATCGAGGCCAGCGTCGTGGTGTAGGTCCGGGTCGCGGTGGTGGAGACGCCGCGGATGGTCGTCGTCTTGGTGCCAACCAGAGTGTTGGAGGTCGAGGCTGTGTAGAGCGCGGTGTTGACTCCCGAGCCAACGGCAGAACCGCCGGCGACAGGGGCAAGGCTCTTGGAGCCGGTTACTTGAGGATGACTGGAGGGAGTTAGCAGTGCCGATGTAGAGGAGTGAGTGGACTTACATGAGGCGGGTGTTGGTGGTCTTAGGGTTGATCTTGGTCACGACAGCCGGAGATCCATTGTTGGAGGAGCCAGCACCGGAGCCGGAGCCAGAGGAGCCAGAGGAGCCAGAGGAGCCAGATGAGCCAGAGGAGCCAGAGCCAGCAACAACTCCAGACGATCCAGAGCCGGAAGAAGAGCCAGAAGAGCCGGAGCCGGAGTTGGAGGATCCAGAGCCAGCAATAACTCCAGAGGAGCCCGAGCTGGAAGATCCGGACGAGCCAGAAGAGCCAGAGTTAGAAGAGCCAGAGCCAGAAGAGCCAGAGTTAGAAGAGCCAGAGCTGGAAGAGCCAGAGCCAGAACCAGCAGTAGCCTCGCCAGCAGCAGCAGTAATGGTAGCCGTGGAAATCGTCTTGGTGACAGTAGAAGTAGAAGTGGCCATCACCGTAGTGTGCAGGTGAGTGGGCGCATTCGTAGCCTCGATGAGAATGGTGTTGTCAACGGTGATGATAGCATCCTCCTCGAGCTGAACATCAACCACAACAGGGTATTCGATAATGTTCAAGGAGAGGTGCAAGACCTCGCCGGTGAACTCGACATCCGAGCAGGTATCGCGAGCCCGCAGAGCAGTGTCCTTGGGCTTGATAGCCGCAGCACTGGCCACGCCCAGGGACGCGACGGTCGCTGCAAGAGGAGCGAAACGCATACTATTCTATTGAAAGAATGACTGTATGTAAAGAACGACAGTGAAAAAGAAAATCAGAAAGAGTGACAGTAATGGGCCCTGTTTGGCCGGAGCGAGCGTCTAAACGAGTGTACGCGAAGCTTGGTTCTCCCCGGAGATGGGATCGGGACTGCTTTTATACTTGACGGAGACCTTCCAAAAAGATGGTGCAGTAGGGGTCTGCATTGTGCAAGCATTTCCCGTGGTCGATTGCCCTGCAGACCACCACGTGGGAAATCCCTGTACTGCCCAGGTCTCGACCTCTTGGCAGGCACCATTGCTGGTAGGATCCGCTTCCAAGGTCAGAAAGGGGAAATATCAGGTAACAGTATCCGACGTATCGCGAGGGAATCAGGGCTGGTTATGACGTTGGAATCGGCTTGCTCGGATATCCCGAGCTGAAGAAACCTGAAGAACCGGGTCGGGTTAAGCTTCTTTGAGACTAGCTTCAGGTTTGGTTCAGGGACAAAAACCCTTGGGTCTGGGAATTGGGATTGCTGATCTCTGCTGGATCGGAGGCTCTCGAACCTAGTGAATGTGTATCTGGTATGATTTCACCTTCAAAATTGCACACATCGTTCTGTTCAAGGTCAGTATCCTGTAGGGTTATCCGACCATGCCGCCAGCAAAAGCAAGTGCAAAAGTCTAAGCACACCCTGAACAGTCAGAGTTCAATTGACATTTACCGTCGATTGATTTGCCGACAGCTCTAGTCTAGGGCTCGGGCTAAAAGTGGCTATTGAACGAGCGGGGCGCCCACCCACCGCATGTCGTTGGCTGAACCGAAGTAAGCCTGGCCCGGTTCCTTGGACCATCTCAGACAACATGGGACTAGAAAATTCCTCGTTGAGTCCGTGACACCCTTATGGTTGTTGTCGACGAAAGGGACTATTTGAACGAGCAGGACGCCATTGGCCATTCACTCGACTCTACTGCTCTTAGGGCCTACTCTCCGGAAGTCCCGGATACAGTCTGCAGCAGCCAGCCCTCTCCAGGCACATCACACCGTATCCCATACCCACTTATCAGCGTGAGGCCCTTCTCCAAAGACCAATCCGACAGATCCCGTAATTCATACCGATGATCACAGCGAATGGACAACACTCAGACTAGTTACTGAGTTATTAATACCACAAGCAGGTGGTTCGCCACACTAACCCCCTGCAATGCATCTCCACAACAGTGCCACCTAGTCAGTAGTTAGGCGAGGAGCACGAGATCCCTGATTAGCTTCAGCTTTGCATCGCCCGCGAACCACGATCGGGTGGATATCTTTCAATCGTACAATGCCTCGTTCTCTCGCGTGCGGCAGTCACACGATTTCCATCTCGGAATTCTGAAGCGAAGAGATCCGATCAATAGTTCGTGTTGCTGTCGCGGCCTTTTCGGCAAGCCCGGGTCTATCCCTGTCGTACTAGTACGAGTTCCAGTGGGGTTGAGTTCTGTTCTTAGGTTGATATACAGCTCCAATCGCTGTTCGGGTGTTGTTTCCCCCCTTTTTCTTTATCCCACTAAATGTGGTGGACCGAAAAAAGAGGAGGAGCTGAGGGCCGAGTCTTTGGGGAGAGGGTGGCAATCCATAAATCTCATGAATGGTCTGTTTACAGTCCAGTGTTCACGAATAAGCCTATGACTGTAGTACGTAGTCGAAATTGGGGAGAATTGCTTTCCAACACGGCTGCTTCATGCAGGAGGTGGAAAGCTTGATGTCGTGGGTTGGGTCGAGGCTTCGGAATGTATTCAGCAACTCCTAATTCTCATAAGCTAAGTTGCCTCCTGCGTTAAGCTAAGCTATGGACTAAGATCTTGGGTACAGGTTGCAGAAACCGATTGGAGTCAAACGGGCTGGTATTAATATCAGTGGACTTGTGGTAGGTGACGAAGGCCTAACCGGCGGGTGACTCGCCCCCACAAAGCGCCCTTGGTGGACCCAGCTGGACTTTCAACTCGAATGATCGAGTCGAGCAAGCACTTTGAGTAAAGATTTCCCGATATCTCTCTGAGCAACCTTAGAATAACGCAGCGAGGCCTCTCCAAGCATCTTACTAAGCAAGCACCTTTATCATATATACAGTACACTCTTAGCCACCTGTTTTCACGTCATTTTCTATACAAACATATACCTACTCCCTGCCGCCACCCGGCTAGGCGCAACCTTGCGAAGGTGGAAGGACAACTAGGTAGACATACCGAAATGGCCAATAGAGGTTCCAACTCAAAGCCTCGAGGAAGCTCTTTAGTGAGATTAACAGGCTCCTACCAGTAATCAAGCCTCTCACTGCAAGAGAGAAGGTATGAGGATATAAAAAGTTTCTGCTTCTAAAACCACTTCGCAACCGCTCCGAGGAGTTCCTCTCATTGCAGGGCACAAGCAGTAGATTACAATGATAGTGATTTTGGCGGTCAAGACATGCCTGATCTTGATGATGTTCCTAGAAACACATTTAAGGGTAGTACAATGTACACCCTGGGCATGCAGTTACTGCAGCCCGGCGCTTCGGAGCGGGTTACAAACGAGGGTGTCTTATCGTCACTCATTAACTACTTACAGTAAACCCGCACGCGCCCGTCAATATAGATTCGGAATCTCAGTCGCTCTTTTTGAGTGCCAGGACTGTAGCCTCAGAATATGGCCATCGCGTTCGGTGGGGACGACACTCCACCGGGCATATTCAGAGGCACAGATGTGACGAAGAACGTCCAACGCTGAAGATCCTCGCATGTACGTGCCAACGCCTCCAAGTCGAAAAGCTCGCCTGTAGTGAATCAGTATCGATACTAGAGTATGTACATGGGAACTTGAGACCCACCAATGGGCATGCCCCATCCTGCAAGGACGTACTCATGGAGAAACAGATCAGGAGATTGAGGTGGATAAACCTGTCAGATGTCAGAAAAATAACCACGTGAAGCCCTGGTGGGGATCTGGTATGTCCTCTCACCTCCCAGCTGATAGCATCGCTCGCAATGGCTGCAAAACCCGTATCCCAGAGCCAACGAAGCACGTCGATAGTAGCCTCCATCCCTGCGTGTTGGGGCTTCGGATTCTCGGAGTATCGCTGCTTCTGCGTGTGTGTCATGACGGTGTCCCATTCCTTGGTGACTCCTATGCGGATGAAGAGAATGTCACCTTTCTGGAATGCGACGTTGGATTCTTTTGCAACCTGTAGGATATCGGATAGTCTGATCTGATGGGTCGAGAACGTGCTATATTGTATACCACGCTTCTCGGCCCACGTCGCGTAGTCGATAAGTACCCCGCGACCTGTCAGGGGAGACTTAGTACATCCGGAGCGAATCAAGTTATATGTTAGGTTGACTCATGGCCGCGATACCTACCGGCTAAGCCCTCCCGTGCCCAGTGCTGTATACCAATTCGATCATTTGTCCGATCATTGATCTCTTCCACTGTTGTCCCGCCGTAAAAGATGCGCTCGGGTTGACCTGGGACTGGCTGCGAAAAGTGTCGCAACCCATCCCATTGACTGCTTTGTTCTGCGAAATATCAATATCATGGAAGAGAAAGGGGTTTTTATTTTTGTCTCACGTGGGTTCATCGTATAGACATCATCAAAAGCCACGCCACCCAGCAATGGAACAATCCGATGATAACATGGTTGACGGTTTAGATTGGGGTAATCCAGCTTGGTCATTTCCCATGCCATGGTCACCCTCCGCCCTGTCTTGATCTCGGTTGCTGCCGCCTTGGCCACTACTTCCGGTGTCAGAATGGAAAGCTTCCCCAGACCCTCTTCTTTGCTGTCCGGTTCCCCCACCCAGACCTGCTTTGGATTCGGAAGCAGGTCAAATGGTGTATCGAAAAGTGATTGTCTGTCCGTCATGGCTACAGAAGAGACACCCTGCGTAGAGCCTGTTGTTCTTATGCAAGATAGCATAAAGATCGCAAGTCCCTGTTTGTACTTTTCGAAACGACAGGATGTGCACGGGATTGACTTGTAAAGTTGCAGTGTGAGAAATGTTGAGTATGTATGGTCAATATAGTGCGACCTTGCAATGTCAGTTTCCTTCAATGTCACCATAGTGTTGCAGCACGTACTTGAACTGATGTTTTGGTCTCCTTCAAAATGCCAGTCAGAAGAGAAGTCCTCGACATGACAATTCGATTCAAGGTAGAATCGCGCCGATAAGAACGTGGCTTGTGAGACGCAAACTCGTGTAAAAAGTTGGAAGTTGGCAATCTTTCAGTTGGAGGGGACAAACATGCAACAAACACAAACTTTGAGATCGGGGAGTAAAAATGCGGGGGATCAGCACGAGGCAACAGCCATTCTTCCGTCACTGTCAACTTTCTTTTCTTCTGGTCATTCACCTTTGGACAAGAACCGAATTAGCCGGGAATCAGCTTTTCGAGCAAGGGCGCAAACGAGACACATTGAGCTGTCATTATTGCCTAGACTGAGACCTGCATTAAGCAAGGAGTAGTATACTGCTCGTTACATCAAGCGAAGATAGCAAATGTGCCCCTTCAGCCAACGGGTGGATGTCCGTGTGCGATCCTTAGCTGTCGTGCAGAGCGGATTGCATAATTCACTAATTAAGCATTCCTCGGTCGCACCCTTTCTTGAAGCACTGTGTTGAAGCACTGTGGCTGACGGAACCGAGTTACCAGACTCGTCGCCAGACTTTGATTCAGGTTTGATCGCAAACGCTCTCGCGTTCAGTGCTAGACGATCCATCAGCATGGGCACTTTCGGATCGCAGACGAGTACCTACAACAGGCTGGTCACGGCCTTCGTTGCTGTGGGGTCAATGGTAAGACGTCGACTTCTACCCTGCTTTCACCCAGATATACGCTAATTCCACTCAATTCTTTCAGACCTACGGTTATTGCTCCTCAATCATCTCGAGTACCATCGGCCAGCCAGGGTGGTATACCTATTTCCACCTTCCACAAGAGGGCCAGCCTGGATACGCGTCGACCACGACATCAGCCATATCGACTGCCAACGGTGTATACAGCGCTGGGGGTGCAGTTGGATGCCTCCTCATTATGTGGTCATGCGACTTCTTTGGGCGTAAGCGCAACATCTAGCTGGGCGCTTTCCTGGCCATGTTTGGCGGTGCGCTCCAAGGCGGTGCCAACTCTTTAAGGTGCGAGCTGGAGTGTTCCAAACATTCTTGAAATCGGGGAGCTGATGTGTCTCCAGCATGTTCCAGGCAGGGCGTTTTACCTGCGGCCTGGGAATCGGAATCCTGGTGACTGTCTGTCCCATGTACCTGTCCGAAATTTCGAGCGCTTTTCACCGAGGCTGGCTGGTCGGTCACCATGCTATATTCCTAGTCTTCGGGTACATGCTTGCTGGGTGGGTTGGCTATGCGTGTTACTTTGCGCAAGGTCAAACGGATACGTTCAGTTGGAGGTTCCCGCTTTGCCTTCAATGCCTCCCACCTTTGATCCTGCTTCTTGGGTCGCCGTGGGTTCCGCGCTCTCCTCGCTGGTTGATCAGTAAGGGTAAACAAAACGAGGCTCAATCAGTCTTGGAGCGGGTCCGCAAATCCCCTGATGATCTCGACAATCTCGTTGCCAAGGAAGAATACTACCAGACTACTCAACAGATTCATCTGGAGAAAGAACGATTGTCTGCCTATGGTAATGTATGGAAAGCAGTCTTCAAGAAAAGGTCATATCGGAAACGCATGATTATTGGTTTCCTGACACAATGGGGAGCAGAATTTGGTGGGCCTTTGATCATAGTAAGTCACTGGTTCACGGATACCGTTTGACCAGCCGCTCATTTGAATGACAGAATAACTACGCCGTCATTCTATACACTAACCTGGGGATGACAGGCAGCATGCCCTTGCTTCTTAGTGCAGTATGGCTTACCACAGCTGGTAAGATGGTCTATCCATGATCCAGCTGGCGCTGACACCTGAGGCCTAGGAATAATCTATAACCCGTTAGGAGCTTGGCTTCATGACAGAGTAAACTCAGGGCGGAAAATGTATATTGTTGGCTTTGTCGGGATTATTATCACGACATCCTGCCTAGCTGCCATGACAGCACAGTATGCAGGGACCAAGAATCGGGTTGGAAATGGCTTTGGCATTTTTTTCATCTATCTCTATTTGGCTTTCCAGGGGTAAGCAGGCCTTCGACCAGCCCACGATGGGGTACTGACTTTGCGACAGAACATTCTGTGATACCACGATGTACCTCTATGTGTCTGAAATATTCCCCACCGAGATTCGGCCGATTGGCATGGGCTTTTCATTATTTGGACAATTTGCTGGCAAGTAGAAACTCTATGGCGGTTCTTTGCAACGCGGCTAACTGAAGGGTGCAGCTACATTGATACTCCTCGAAACCGCTCCAATGGGCTTTAACAACATTGGGTGGAAGTACTACCTGGTCATTATCTGCTGGTCCGCCTTCTTCATTCCAGGTACGTAGTACTGAGCTTTCAAGATTGGGAAATGGCCTAGTGCACCGGTACTGACAGAATCTCGAGTCATATATTTCTTTTTCCCGGAGACAGCCCGTCTGACCTCCGAAGAAATCGCGAAGAATTTTGGTGAAGAGGTTGCCATCCGCCTCACGGATGCCACGGACGAGGAGAAGGCACAACTCGAACGGGATCTTGCAGCTGGATCTCGCAACTATCAATCATCCAGAACAAAGACAGAAAATGAAACTATTGACAATTCTGTCCTTCATGGAGTCTAATCAGCATGATGCCAGGTAAGTATTTTGACCATCGGTGGAGGGCCTAGTTTTACAACCGGACGGCTAATGGATGTGTAGGTGTTATTCGAGGATGCTTGCAATTAGCTCAATCCCTGTATATATAATAATTATCCAGAATCTTGGGTCAGTGGACGATATGGGTGAGACTGCCGGGTCCATATCTTTCAGGCTTCATTGGCAAACTATCGGTCTTCAGGAGGCGGCTGTGGAGACATTAGTAGATCTAAAAAGGTCTGGACCAATGAGGGAAGGGAAAGCGTGACGACGAATTGGTCGAGCGTCGGGTGGATTTGGGAGTTCAAGCGCACTGGTCAGTGGGACGAACATATGGTTCTGGTTAGGTGGCTTCAGTAAGAGCCTAGAGGTGGCAGGAGCTTTATTGCATCTGTAGATGTGTGGGGTGCAATATGAAGAGATGGATCCCAGATGACCCAGATGACACAGTTGACACTTGACAAAACTAAAAGGTTCAAGTTGAAAGCATCAGACAAAGGAACGCGGGTGATTGACGGGTGGGATTTCATTAAGACCAAACAATTGTTGTCCTCAGGAATCCTTGGAGACCTTAAGTGACCTTCGAAATCCTCAGGCACCAGACCCCGGTTGGGTGTTGGCTCCAATCAGGTGCCCCAGGCCCGCAACTGCCAAACAATGGCCACAACGCTAGTCCCAGATAAGATAAGCGTGGCGGTCAAGCGAGCCAGTCAGCAAGGCAGACTGGACCAGGGCGGCGAAGTGGGCGTCTCAGCCCAGCGTCTGGAAGCTGGAATTGGAGAATGGCACTGGCAGCTTTCACTTCCTCTCTCTCCTCTCTCATTGACACACTCTCCTTCCCTCACTCACTCGCCCCATCTCTCCTCCTCCTCCTCCTCCCTTCCCCCCCGCTGGTTCCCCTTCCCTTCTCTATCTATTATTACTTGGTGTTCTCCTCATTCATTTATTCATTCCTCTATTCTCCCTTCTTTCCTCACCCTCTCTCTACCTACCTACCTCTCTCTCTCTCTCTCTCTCTCTCTCTCTCTACCTCTACTCTATCTTTTGCTTTCTCTCCCTCTCCCTCTACCTTTACATCTTTCGTTCTCCCTTCTCTTCTCTCTTACTCGCGTACCTTCCGTCACTCCAAGCCTCCTTCGCCCCCTCCCCGTCAGCCTTGTCGCTCTACTTCAACCAGATCCCTTTTCACCCTTGGCCTCTTTTCCAAAGGCCTAATTCCCGCCTATCTCTTATACCTCACCTAATTTCTTTTCTTCCATCTGCTAGACTTTTAATTTGCGTGTTCTGCCTGACCTTGCTTTGTGTTCGCCTTCCATCCGACTTGAGCGGGAGAGGTATCTTGCACCGTCTGTCTGCCTGAGGCACCAGAACCATTTTGCTTCCCGATTAGGCGCGCCAGGAAAGCCACGGAAAACGAAACAGAAAAAAAAGCAAAAAAAAAAAAACAGGGCGGCCAAAACACGCGCCGAGAGCCGAAGAAACGAATCAATCACACCCGGCGTTTGAGACTCGTTTCCCTCACTTCATCCTCTCACTTTTCCTTCTCTCTTTCCACCGTCCCAAGTGCGCGGAATCCTTATCAACCCCAGAAAACACAAAAAAGAAAAAAGTGTCAGTGAAGAAAGGGATTAAAATAAAAGGTTAAAGATAAATTTGGAGAAACTGAGAAGAAGCCCGCCCTTAATCATCCATCTATCGATCTCCCCTTGACAAGAACCCAAAAAGTCTTTGCTTGCATCCCTTACTTCCCATCTCGTCACCATCGCATCGCTGTGTTTGTGTTGCGAAGGATTCGGACGGACAGTTCAGGCTTGAGCTTTCTCTTCATTACATCGTTGTGTCGAGCTTTATTTTTTCACGCCTCCTAGGGAGTTGCAGAGCATCTCCCGTCTGTTCACCATCATCGTCGGTCTTCTAATCGCAGACATATCCTTCACCTCCACCGTTGCTTGAGCCGACTACTCTTGCTCCGGTCGCGTCTACCTTCGCCTCTCTCTTGGTCACCCTATTAAGCCACCAGCATTGATCATTCGACGCTGACGCCTGGTTTTTATCTTCTTGTACACCTGATTCCTAATCGCTCTTTGCCGTCTGGTGCCATTCCACCAAGGCGCGACGACTTGCATATCTTCCTGTATCTTGCAGGTAAGCTAGCGTTAAGGCAGTCGCTCACAGCATTCGACTGACTGTTACGAAAGCTCGCATCGGTCTTTGATCCTGAAACTGTGGAGCATTCTTACCATTCGTTGCCCTTCGATCATCCAGTCTCGGTTTATCTGTGCGCCTCGTCATTGCCGAAACCTCTTAATCCTTTAATACGCTAAGGCTACTCTGCGTTGCTGATTCACCAGCACTCCCTTTTCTTCGTCTTTTGCACATATATTATTGTACACTTTCACCATCTACAATCACGAGTATGGACGCTGGCGGTCTTGCTCAAATGAGCTACAACTCTTCTTTCAATAATAGCGGTTCCCTCGGGGTTCCTGGGGCCAGCTTCGGCTCTCGGCGGAAGGGTTCCCATATCAAGCGACTAAGCGTCCCCCCGCCGCACATCGCGACTATTGACGAATCTCAGCCTTCTGCACCCATCCCCACGCCACGTACTAGCCGTTCTCATCTTTTGGCGGGGCTGAGGACCGCACCGAAGTCCGCGACCGTGCCGTCTGCAGTCCAACGCCAGCAGCACCTGGGTTACGAAGGCGATCGGTATGGCAATCCTTCGAATCGCACTACGGAGCGTGTCCCTCAAACCGCTATGGGAACCGGTTTCCCACGCCACTCACTAGCCACAAACCAGAATGTGGACATGAACACGGGTCGTCCTATGTATACTTTGCCGGAGCAGGTGCTCGCACCTCCGGCTATAGACATCGCTGGCGATATGCCAATGGACGATAACCTCTACGCGGAGTTGATGTCGACCAACCTTTTTCTTGCGGCCCAGCAACAGCGCCTGCAACAGCAATTGATTAGTGTGACTGCAGCAGCCCAGCAGTTCCAGGGCATGACCTTGGGTGGACCCATGGCTCAGCAGCAACAGGAATACCCTGCGCTTTCGGTCCCCAGCATGGGCTTCTACCAGCAACAGCTTCAGCAGGGTGTGCAGCCGATCGTGCAGCCGGTGCCAGGTCAGCCCGGTCTCTTCTCGGTCTACAATCCTCTTACCGGCCAGCAAAACTTCATCTACGACAACACTTTCCAGCAGGAAAGCTCTACTACTCCCTACCACGAGGAGGAGCCTTCGTTCCCATCCGTGCAAGTGCCCACTTTCAGAGCAGAGGTTTCTCCTCCCGAGTCTCACCAGTCCCCTGTCAGCATCGGTGAGCCCGTGTCTCCTCCGCGGTCGAGCCCGTCGCCGCCTCTGGATGTTGCTCCTCTGCCCCCGCCTTCAATCAACGCTTTTCGTCGGGGACACAAGAAGAGCTCTTCTTTCAGCCCTGCCCTGAAGCTGCCCATTGACACCATCAAAGCCAACAGCCAGATGGTGGCGCCTGGTCCTAAGACTGCTGCCTTGCCTCAGACTCCTGCGACGGGAACTTTTGGCCCTGGTCAAGCTCGTGCAGGTGAACATCCCACTCGTCAACCTCGCGGCCCTCCTTCTCTGGAAGAGCTGGTTGCGAAGCCCACTTCCAAGTTCGAAGGCAGCAAGAACTTTGCCACGCGTCAGCGACGTCGGGCCGTCCACAACTTGGTGCGCGCCGGCATTGAGCGCCGCGGTGACACCCGCAGCTTCGGCTGCCATAGCAGTGGCGGTACGAACACTCCCGCCAGTGAGAAGGAGTTCACGTTCTCCGATGGAGATGATGCCACTGTGCGTAGTGGTAGTCTTTCCAGCAAGCCCAGCTTGGGTAGCCTCCGCGCAGCTGCCAACGGTGCAATTGGTTCCGAGAGGAAGGAAAGGTCTTCTCGGGAGCGCAGATCGCAGGATAGCCCCTACAACACGACCCCCATCAGTGAGGATGGTGGGTTCTTTGGAGGAAAGTTCGCGGACGTTCGAGCGGATCAGGGCTCTCCTCGAACGGGCTCCCCATCGGTTGCTGCTGTCGTCGCTGGCCAGAAGACGGTAGCTCAGGGTCAGGAACGGCGCAAGACTCCTATGCTTGTGCTGTCCAGCGCTGAGAAGCGTAAGACCCCCACCATCATGTAATGTGAACGCCGTACATAATGTGACTTGAAACGCGCTACGGGATGTGCCAAGCTTGGATGATTTCTTTATTTCTTACTTCTGGGGTGTTTTTGAAGCATGTTGATTCTATTATTTCCTGGTTCCGCAGACAAGATGCTTAATTTTGTGATGTCAATGCAAGGCAGACTTGGTCCTGAGCGATCTTCTGTCTATGTTCCTTTCTCTCTGTGCTTGGACACACGACCGGGCTCTGCGAGATGGTTGGTTAGTCGGTTTGGCTGGCTCAACACCTCACCTCGCAACCCCACATATGAAAAATGTGACTTATGTTATCCTTTTTTTTTTCTCGACCATTCCTTTTCTCCACTTTCTACAACCTGAACAAATTGATGAAGCTCCTCAAGCGGGCTGATTGACACATTAGCAATGCGTTGCCTTTCTATCACGTCTTTTTCCTTGAGCGTGGAATACCCCAAACCCCGGTCTAGACCCCAGGTTCTCTTCTGGGAACTGAACCTCGGGGAGTCGAAGCCCGGCTACATCTGGTTATTTAGCCTTTCTGGCCTAGAAAATCAAATAGTAAGTTAGAGTGTTAGTTACAATAGGACGAGAAGCAGTCACATTCTCAAGCGCGTATGCATCTTTTACACTTTCAAGTCGTATGCTACCGGCTTGAACGATATCGCCTTGGTATGAATGCCGAAACCATGTCCCCTCCCAATCACTACCTATCAACCCTGTTACGAACTAGAATCAACACCAGACTAGCCAGCTTAATGGGGAGGATTTCAACCCAGCGACCCCCTTCGATATAGATATGCTAGAACCATGCATGCAAACTCAATTCCGAGCTAGAGACCACGTAACCTGCTGAAAACAATCAGCCAATGAAAGACCTTGATCTAAGAAGCGAATCCACACACCGTACCGTGCTAGTTCATGTTCATGCTCCTGCCGGAAGTGTCATGAGTACGAAGACCGGCCGCCCGGTTTCAGGGTCTGATTCAAACTGACCTTTCTAGCCTATCGCCGAGCCTATAGCCGAGCCAGCCTGGCAGCCAGCTTACTTGGGTGTTTCGGGATAACGGCTGACGAATGATCATGGATACTCTGCCATAATACTTGGTTTGGTCGAGCAGTATTCGGTACTTCCTCCTCCTCCTCCTCCTCCTCCTTGGGCCCTATCCCTTTCTTTCTTTTGTTGGCAACGTGGTGGGAGGGGGGCATTGATCGAGTCGGTCATACTTGCTTTGTTCGTATGGGTGACATGACCTTTACTGCTTACTTACTTGGTTCGTACCGCAAATCCCTGCTTTGCGTTGCGTGTTCCTGGGCATAGATCCAGGCATCGGGGCGGGATGAGGTTCGATGTTCGTGCGCACTATCTCTATACTGTACACGGTAGTGGTTGGCGATGGTGATTACTGGAATCACAGAGTACGGGGTAGACTAGGTACCTACCTAGTGACCTTCCTTCCTTTCTTCTTACTTGAGTAGTCCACGGGAGGTAGGGAGGGAGAGGTGAAGGAAGGAGAGCGTTGCGCCACCCCCCCCCCCCCCCCCCCCCCCCCCCTCGAGATGGCAGGAGCGATCTTCTCCCGCTGGACGCAGGGATACTTGCATGTTATGTTGGTGGGATGAGAAGCCGCTGGTCTACTTCTAGAGAGTCAGAAGAGGGCATCCCAACGGTATGCAGCTCGTGGCTTCAGTGTCCCGACAGGAGGGAAGATCTTACATCTATAATTAGACTAGGTACGAATACTGATAAGATCTAGGCCGGTTTGGGGATCAAGGTAAACGTCAAGCGCGATTGAGACGAGGTATTACCGTAGTAAAAATCAAGACTAGAGACTGCCGCTCATGTATAATCTCATCATTGCTAAGTACTACCCAGAGTGAATCACAGACACAGACTGTAACAAGAAAAGAAAGGAAAACCAAAGAGTGAGTTTATCGACATGTGCAAGAATCTCAGAAACAGCAGGATAGGAAATCACAGGGCATGGAGAAAAGAGAGGGTGGTCGGAGCCAACACTATATAGATAGGATCAAGCAAGATATCACTCCAAACAGTTCACGCTGAAACAACTCGACAGACTCGCTTCGTGACGGCAATGCTAGACAGGAACACAGAAGAAAAACAAAGCGTACGCTCCACGTATATAGGTGCGAAAGAGCGCGGTATAAATAGGATGGATGTCACGAACTTTGCAAGCTCTTTAGAAACTGAAGAGTCCGCTTCGCTTCTTACCCAATGGGTAAACGACCAAAGCAGCCAAAAATAGACCGACGGTGAAGCCTACTGCCACCTGGATCATGCCATACCCGATGTCCAGAACGATTCCGTGGGACTGGGTGTCATACTCGGGCTTGGTCATGTTCTGGGCCGCATCAACGAAGCCCTGTGTTCCGTTGGACACTGGGGAGTACGGAGACGGCACCGTCGTGATCTGTTCCGCTGCGGCAATACCCGAGATCAGAGAACCGCTGGCTGCGAGGCCCGACGGTACCAACACAAAAATCGCAGGCAGCATCGCGGCTGCTGCAAAGCCATGTCGCAGTCGACTGTAGAGATTCCCCATCACACCGACCACAAACGCTCCCAGAGCATTAGACACTTGGGTGCTGGTGGAGAAACGCTTGGTCCCAAAGTAGGTGGTCACGAACCCCGTAAATGCGATGGCCAGCATCATCGGCATCTGTCGCCACTTCGCTTGGTTGATCACAGCGAGACAGAATGTGAAAAGGATAACGAAGGGAAAGTGCCCCACGTACTCGTTGGTAATGGGACTCGGGGGGCAGGTGTATTCGGAGGAGGCATCGGCGTCGAGAAGACCGTACACCGCAGTGCCGATTGTGATACCGAACCCAAGAAATAAAGAGTATATGATGGCATACACCATGCGGACGGAGCCGGCCACAATGCTGCGGGACTGTAGTTCCAAACTGGCACACAGTACCATATAGCCTGGTAAAATCAACGCAATTGATGACTGGGCCAGAGCCGAGAAACAGAACAGTCGCCCATCTCCATGGCGAATGCTGCCAAAAGCCCGTGCCAGAAAGGAAGTCAGAACAGCCGCTGATATCTCGAAGACGTTTTGATAGAGGTTTGATCGTGGAGATAGCACAAGTTGCAGGGTCCCCAAGAGGCATCCAAGCAGAAACGCGATCGGCATGTCGATGGGTCGAGCACTGAATGCAAAGGGGCCAACGCAGGCGCTAGCACAGCCATGCAACAGAATCAGAAGCCAGACAGGGTATTTGTTCTTCATCTTCATAATCTCGTCCAGCCGTTGAATAGCTTCCTCCACCCCGATCACGTCGTGTATCACCTCCTTGTAAATAAGGTGTACATCGGACAACTTGCCCAAGTCAACACCTTGAGGCGCCCGCACCACTTTCACCTCCGTCGTATGGGTGGCAGCGTCGTCAAAGGAGATGATCATGCATCCCGGGAAATAGAGAAACTGGCCGTCGATTTCCAACACCCGTGCCGTCATCCTCATATACTCCTCTAACCTATGCGTTGGTGCCCCATACTTCATCAAAGCCCGACAGAGGCGAATGCAATACCGTTGCCGCGAGAGAAGCTCAGCGATGTGCACTGTAATCCGGATCTCATCCTCAAGCTGTGGCTTGCCCATTCGCTTAGGCGCACCTGGTATCGCACCACTGCTCCGTGAGCGCTTGAGCATCGCGATAGGGGAGCTAGATGAGTTCTTGGCGGTAGAACCCGCTAGAGACAGACTAGACTGGCTCGGCGATTTCTCGTACCATTTCCTCGGGCGTTGGGACTTCCAACTTGGATCAGGAGACAGCCCTCTACCACTGATTTCCCCGGCACTACTTCGGCGAGAACGTCCATGACGTCCGATAGAATAGTGACCATCCGATTGCTCGTGAAGCTTCAGCAGAGATGAGAGAATCCCACTCCGATACTGAGAAGGCCGTTCGACATAGTTTTCGGAATCCCTGTCTTCGAGGGGAGTAACCTGTCCAGAGCGAAACCCTGGAGACGGGGCTTGAAGCCGGGTCAGAAAGTTGAAATCCTTTAGAGTCATTTGTTGCACTAGTTTGTGAGCTTCAGAAGAACGCGTGGAGTGTCGACCGTTTAGGGGGCCAACTTCATCGTCGTCTGAATAGTCGTCGAAATTTTTCTCGGTCAGGCTGATCATGGGAATTTCATCTCCAAGCTCAGCGGGCAGCACCACCTCGGAGGGAGTCGAGTCTATGGATGACGGCAGACTGCTCCGACGGCTTGGCCTAGGAGAATTAGGAGAGCGACTGAGTAAGGTGGCCAATCGCTGGGCCCTCTCTTGCGCAGAGTGGATAGCTCTCCCCTTCTCATTTCTGACTTCATCATCACCATAAATCTCCGGCGAGGTAGCCCTTGAGTGAATAGTTAGGCCCGTGACACCGACTGGTGAGCCAGGGCTGATATCAATCAAGGGCACTGATTGGGGGCTGGCAGTGACCTTGTCGGCGACTGGAATGCGAGCTGTGGGTAACGGTCTTTGGGGCAATGATGAACCCCTTCCATCAAGCCGGGTCTCTGACGTCGATCCGAAAGAACTGTCGCCAAGACCAGCTTCGCTGACAGTAAATTTGACGCGATTCGCGGTTTTGGGATTTCTAGCATTCCGGAATCTACCCTGGGCGCCGCTAGGGTCCGCTGCACTCTCTTGAAGCCTCTCATTGGGGATCGAGAGAGAGGATATACGCGGCCCTTGAGAGGATCTGCCTGTCCTTCCGGACAGATCAGTAAGGCTTCGGGGCCTTGAAGAGGAAATAGGGAGATCAAAGTAACCACCAGCCATTCCCGTGTGCTTTACGTGACTGGACAGAGTGCCTCTCGAACAAGCGGAATTTCTGGTACTTTTCTGTGTTACCCTGCTGGGGTTTTTTTAGTACTTCCGAAATATTCCACTTATTGGTTTCTGTGCCCCGTACTCTGCACACGGACCTTGTTTGAGAGATGCACTATTTCTAGTTCTGAAGGCGATATCTGATCTTGTAGCCCCTCGAAGGCACAGCCCCGTGGCTAGCAAACCGTAGCTATATTCAGTAGCCTAGCAATCATGTCAGATCTGCGCGTTACATCACCAATTGGGCTTAACTACGAGCTGAAACTCACCTCGGAGGATTATGCCAAGCTGAAGGAATGAGGCGGGCAAAGACAGGACGATATGGTGGTTGCAAGGCTTCGCGATCCAAGCCACCTCAAAAAGCAGATAGCGGTCGCGACGGTAGGGTGCTTGGAAGGGATGAAGGGCCCGCCGTAAGGAATGAAGGCACGTCACGGACGCATATCCCAATTCGTTGTGCTGGCCTGAAGGACTCCTCCAGAGAAAATTCGAACTTGTTGCAGGGTGAAAGAGGAGGCAGGCGAAGGAAAAAAGGGGGAGGGGTGAAGAGATAGATAAGAGCTTGCACTGTACTAGCCGTGGCTACGATGAAGCTCGAGGGTATTATAATCAAGGTGGTGGGGAAGGCAAGTGCCAGAGACGTCCGATCTTCTGATGGACGAAAGCAGCCGAATCTTGGGATATGTGAGCTCCAGATAAAGGAAGGGAGGACCAATCACGGAACTCAAACCACACTGAGTATCATATGAAGAAATGGATGTGCGCGATCTGTCCTTGGCCCTGTGTAGCAGGATTTAAGGACTTTAAGGCCGTGGGAAGTAGAATGACTCAGGATACTCTCTCGCAATCTGGGGGTTTGACGTCTGGACAAAAGATGTCAGAGAAAGGGGAAGGAAAAGTTTTGTATCAACAGTAGCTTCAGCTGCGGAGCATCATCGCCACGCTGATGAATCATTGCATCGATTATCGCTGCAGGTCATGACAGTCCCGGACCAATGGATCAGCGTCTTCCGGGCCAGGCAAACATGATTCAAAATAAGTCGAGCAAAAACAGGAGACAGATTCAAGGAAAGTCTCTTGAGCTGCACTAGGGAGAGTCCCAGCTCCAGGCCAGGTGCAGCCCCATAACCCTAAAGTCCGATAGCATGGAACCAACCGGATCGAAGAAGCGACGGGCATGTCAAGAGGTATAGACGATCACAGGAAATCAAAAAGGGTGACACCCAACCCCGTGGACTACAGCTGCGCTCAGGCATCTATGAGCAGGGCCGCGCCGGTCTTGCTACTATCTGGGACACGACCACATTCATTGACGGAACTGGTTCCACGGGCTCCACGATACGGTACCACTGTGGCTCATAAAGGAGTCACATTGGCTAGGACGGCTTCAGATGTACGGCGTCGAGGGGAATTGACTGCAAGAGTCCAAGACAGCTCATTAAATGGGCTATTGTCTCACAAGTTCTGAGACTCCTGTTCTAACGATGACGACAGTGTTTTTCTCGGCCTACGTTGGATTTCGGCTGCTTTCACAGATAGTCGTGCAGTCGAGAATCTGCATCGGTATTTAGCTTCTACTATTTCATCTGAGTCGCGTGGAGACTAGGCAGACTGTCCACTAGTTTGTGGTCGATTCTTCGGGCCCCCACCGACAGAAGCGCCTGGATCCACGGTGCAGCCTTCTGGAACCTCTTGTGGAAAGTATAGAAGTTGATTGACGGGGCTGAGCCGATCGAGAGGTATGTTGATGGATGCGCGCGGTGGGTTCTGGTTTCACATCTATTTGTATTATCTGCCACTCCTGAACAGGTCGAGAGGCAAAACTGGAAACTCCCGGGGATGTGGGCCCGTTGCTGGGTCCGGAAAGAGGATCCCCCCATCCGCAACTAAAGATCAACGACGTTCGTCTACTTCTTCTAGTGCCCGAACCGGACCGTCAACAGTCATTCAGGGACATCATCGGACCCATGGTCGGTCTGGACAAGTAGCCCGTGGTTCTTAATGAGGGAGGAGTGCATTGAGCCATTCCCGACCATCCTCCACGTCAGCCGGATGAATTTTTAATCGTTGACAGATGATGGATGGATGGATGAGCTTGCATTAGGGGCCGCATTCAACCATCATCTCAGTCGAGTATCACATCACATCGTAGTGCAGGATCTCGGCAGCGGCTCTAGTAAGGAGAGGGGGAGGAGAGAGAATCCATGGCAGATGACGAAGCTTCTGCAGACCTCTTTCGAATTTATCACATGGCGAGACTCGATGCGGCGACCGAGTGGGACAGAGAGAACAGGGGATAATTGATATTGGGACTGATGGAGTGATGTATGGAGAGGAGGAATGTTGAAGTGAAGTTGAAGTTGAAGTAGAGGTTGGAGGAAATGGAGGGAATTTTGAAGGACTCAGCGGTGGGCGGCTTCCTGAACGGGACTGGGAAGTCCCTGTAGACTTCAATTTCAATCAATCTCAATCTCAATCTCAATCTCAATCTCGATCTCAATCTCAGTCACTTCCTCTTCTCTCTCCGCCATGCAATTCTTCTATTTCCAATTGTCATCTTCCACGAATTGTTCTCAAACATTAACACGGACCTGGATCCTCCACTAAAATCTACTAGAACTACCCACATAGTATACACATAGTATACACATACTGTTTGTGGTTAGATTCCATGGGTAAGCTTTCTTCGAGCTCATTGCATCGCAGAATTAAGTGGTATAGGGGAATTGTCATGCACCTCTAACTAGTGAAAGAAGGAGTGTGGGGTAAAACGCGCGTTCAAGCAGTGGACGATCTGCAAGATATTCGACATGCAGCCAGCTACTTAGCTACCTGGCTCCGAAAATGCCTTGGATGGTTGGATCTCCCTTGCTGTCATGGAGTATCCTTGCCCCCTCCCCCTCCCTCTTCCCCCCTGATCATCAATCAGAATGGGTCCTGGATCCTGGGGCTAATCACATCTCTGTATTGGTTTTTGCAATCCACAAGTGCAAATGCACGGTGCACTCAGGGGATCTACAATACCTACTTTTAGCGGCTCACCGGATTCGGCCATACCGCATCACTCCCCGATTTTCGAGTGCCTCTGGTGGTTTTGCTTCAAGTTGAGGACAAAAGTTCCCGATACAGATGTCGCAAGAATCTTCATGTCTGTTTCCATCCTTCTGTTCTTCATATCACTTGCATTCAGGGACATTCGCACTTGCCTACGTACACCGATCCGCCGGCTGCAGACAAGCTTCGACGTTGGAACTAAAAAGACGCCTCTGGCTCGACTCCTTGCTTGAGGCTTGCTTACCGGTCGGCGTGGCGATAATTTCGCCGATCCCCGGTCGGAACCCGATTGAGACAACTGGAATGGCACTTGAGGATTAACAGCTGGCTTGTCGGGATGCGCAGAGCTAGACTGGATGATTGAACATTGCCCCACTCCCAGCTCCAGTGCGGACTTGACATTCCATTCGTACTGCGAAAATAAATATAGAACACTCCCAGCGATGTCGACACACAACCCCCTGCCCCATCTTCGTTGTTTAGTGCTCCGCACTATCGGGAGAATTTGCAGAGCACGCTCCCTCAGAAGAACCAGCTTGATCGCTTCCACCATTCTTTGCTGTCCCGTACCTGCGTCGAGCTGCTTCCGAGCACCCTGGGCTTGTATGACGCCCCTATCCATGATGTCAGTGGGTATTCGCATCTGGTAGATTGCGTGGCGCCAGGTCACACCGCGCACAGCCGAACCTGGTCTCATCTCCTCTGTGCTCGGACGGTGGCTGGTAAGTCCGCTGCGTGCCTATCTAAAGCTACACTGACAGATCGACTCTAGGAGCTTACTTACATCCATGTTGCAGCCATCGCCTATTCATTCCAACATGCCCGACAGAGTCCCAAGCTTCATGCGACCGGGCTTGTTCAACCCAGAGCGGGTTCGACTTCCCTCCCGTCCGACGCTGCGCAGTGCTGCCGAGGATGGCGGTGTCACCTGCATGAGCGCAAGGACCAATCTTTAATTCTGCAAACCGGAATGAGAGCGAAATGCGTCACACCGGGGAGGCAATGCAGCCGTGCCGGCGGATGTAAGTCTCCTGTCATGAAGGTCTGCGCGCTGGCTGCTGCCACTGTGGGGAAGGCAGGGAGGTAGCTTGTGTCTGATTGTCAGTGCGAGGGATAGTGGCGAAATCCGCACCATTCCGTCGTCAAGGTAATTGGGGTGACGTTGGCCATCTTCTGGAGGCGCTCTGAGACATGGCGAGTTTACTGTTGAAGAGAATATAATTCATCATGATTGCGCCTGGGACAGGGATATGGGCATTTTGCGCGCAGGGATTAGCTTCCAGCCTGTGGGTCGATATAGAGTCCAGAATAGGTTCTAGGTGAGTCTTTATACTGAGACAGAGACCATCTAGCTCGGTGTGACAAGACCTTCACCAAGCAGAGGCCAGCCAAACCCCTGTACAATCACAGTATGATAAGGGAGGTAAGCTTATTATCGATGGCAGCAAGTCAATTGACTCCATTCGCCACCATTGACTCCTCCACCACTCCCCACTCGCATGACATTCAGTGTAGTCAATTCTCGTGAGTCAAAAGCATATCGACTGTCTTGAACCCTCTTTCCAGATTCTGCAGCGGCCAGAATCGGCCCCTCTAGAGCTTCGTAGCTATCAGCGAGTGTGATCATCTGAACAGGTTGCAAACCTTCTCTGCCCATGTCTTAGAACCGCCTCGCTAGAAGTGCTCCAGACCAGCGCCGTTCACCTCTGCAACGCAAGACATTATCCAAACCTCCCCAATCTCATCTCATAGATAGCTAGCTCCCCGTCACCACAACAGACATCACATGAAACCTTGAATCCCAACGCTTTTGCCTCGAATCCAGTAGAACATCTTCGATTTCCCTCTCTCTCGTCCCTCCAAAATACCCCGATCGAATCTCACGCAGTAGAGTGTCAACAAGAACAATAGCAGCAGCAGCAACAACAATAACAACAACAACAACAATACAAACACCATCACCCCAGCCCCCCAACCCAAACAACAACCTGAACACCCCCCGTGTCCCCCTAAGGTATGGTATCCAAGCACAGTAGAACGAAACCAAGCGTCACACCCACACCCGTCCCCGTCCGTCCGCATCACGTCCCCGAAATCGCACACTGTCCAGTACATCTACCTCCATCCCGTACTGTACCCCGCAACAAAAGCGAGCAGAAACAACCCACCCCAACCGCGGGGTTTCTGGCGTAGCGTAGCGTAGCTTCTGCACGATGATGCATTCATTCAGTTACCACGGTGTAATGTAAAGGATAGCTAGCTACTGCAAGGGTATGGTACCCGGGTCTGACGCCAACTTACTTGCTACTGGGGGCCGAGGTTTGCGGGGTGGGGATATATCTTTGTTTTGCTAGCGGGGCAGGGCACTTTCAGCACCAGCGAATTCTTCTTACATGCAGTGTTTACTTCCGCAGGATATGGTTGTGTTAGCTCTTGCTTGGTCATGTTTGCTGACAGCTGTGGATCCTGTTACTGCATTGATTGTGCTAGAATAGAGCGATCTGTGGGAAATAGAGCCGAGTACCTACCTAGGTATGGCTCATTCGAGTTAATCTACTGCCCACCCACCCACTCGCCAAGTATCAAAGAAACCCCAGAAATCAATCACTTCACTCTCCAAGCTCCATTGCTAGTGCTAGTGCTAGTGCTTCAAATCGAATCAACCCAGCTCAACCCATTCCATCCCATCCCGTTCCATCATGACACCCACGAAAACAAAATCAAACCCGCCAAACGAACCCGAGAAATCAAAGACAAACAACAAGGGAAAAAAGGGCTTACACCGGGTCCAGCCCCCACCAGCAGCAGCAGCAGCAACAGCAGTAGCAAGTAAAGGTATTGGTATTAGAATTCAGATTTACCAGAAGCGAGAAAGGAAAAAACCGAGCGAGAAAGTGAAACCCCTCTTAAAAATGCTGGCAGAATATTTGCAATCCATTCGCTCGTATCGTACGCAAACCATACATATCACGCTCGTCGCTCTACCCGGCTCAACGCCCCCAGTATCACACCTAGGTCTTCCTTGGGCCGGGGCCGGAGACTGAGGTCCTTGTGGTCGGTCGCCGAGTCGGTGCTGGCCAGGCGGCGGATGCTGTTGCGGGCGTCGCGGGCTTCGAGGCGCTCGGCGCAGATGCGCAGGACCTGCGAGGAGACGGCGTCCGAGGTCGAGCGGTACAGTTCGAGGTTGTGGATGCCGGCGGCGAGAGAGTCCAGCGTCGGGGCGAGGGTGCTGGTTACGCGGGAGAGGCGGGTGGAAATGGTGGTTGGGGACATTGGAGAGAGGAAAGTATCTGTTGCGGAGGTTGTTGATCTTGCTGCTGCTGCTGATGGCGGGTCGGTGTCCATGGGCTCGCCGTCTGTCGGCTGTGGTGGTTGTGGTTGAGGTGGTTGTTCTTGTTGCTTGACCGTCTCCGGGTCGATCTGGGCATATATCCTCCGCTGAGACGGGTCTAGTACCGATAAATCGATCGGCTGGTCAGGCCTGGATAATGATAGTTGTGAAGGTTGGCTGGGATCTGTCTCGAGCGGTTGTTTTTTGATACGGGGAATATCCGGCGGCCGTAACAGAGCATTGAGAGCATGCCGCTCTTTCTGTAGCCTGTTGTCAAACGTGAGCAGTCTGGCCAACACAGAGCCCCTAAAGCGAGACGTACTTCTGTATTAAGTCCTCCAATTCCTTGATCTTGTCCGCATTCTGGATGTTCTTCGGGTTCTCCTTCTTGACCACCACCGCGGGAGGATCCAGCTCTTCCCGTTCGAACCAATTAGAGAGTGTGGAGTTCGACTCAAAGTCTTTGAGGAGCTCCTCCTGTATAACACGTGCTAGGTTGTCTTAGCATGTGCATCGCAATCCCAGGAAAGGTGCACTTACCCGCTAGCCGAGCGCTCTCATCCTCTGAGCGCGACCCAGAAGGCTTATCGCCTATGGCTCGCGTACCACACCAGATCAAAAGCTGCCGCATTCGACGCGGCTCCGTTAAGTCTGCGGCAATATGCTTATAGAAATCCGCCGTGTTAACCTTCTTATGTGGTAACGCTGAATTATCCCCGTCAGCCACTCGTGCCATGGAATCACCTGCGGATCAATAAAACCCACCGTTGGACGCCCCCGAGTCGATCAGCGAACTCGCTCGCCGACCTCGCATCCCCAGACTACTCCGCCGATTGTTCCCCTTCACGGACTTCTTCCCTCGCATCTCCCGATTTCTTTGTATGACCGGCGTGTCGGCCAACGGCAATGAAATCGTGGCCGTGCCAGCCTGCGGCGGCCCTGGAGACACGTATCCATTGCGAAGCGACGCTCGTCGTGGTGGTTGTTGTCGTTGTTGTTGAGGCTCTAATTCCGGCTGCGGCGTCGGCTGCTGCTGTTGTTGTTTCTGCTGTTCCTCCTTCCTAGAATTACTAGGTCGGCCTTTCCTCCGCTTCTTCTCCAAGGGAACCGTTTCCCCCTGATCTCGTTTTCGCGTCGAGCGTTTCGCACGTTCTGGCTGTGGCTCAGGCTGTGCCTGGGCTGGAGGTTGCGACTCCGGTTCTTGCTCCGGTTCCGGTTGAGGCTCGGGTTCAGGCTCAGGCTGGCTCTCCTTCGCCTTTGCGGCTCCCCGGGTTGTCCTCTTGCTCGTTCCCTCGCTCGGCTTCGTTTTTCGTCTCGTTTTCGTGGTATCCGTAGTAGTCTCTGTCGCAACCGCAGCAGGCTCCACCTTCTCCTCCACCACCTTCTTCTTCGGTGGTCGACCCCTTCTCGGAGATGGCTGCGGCGCTGTATTCAGATGCGAATTTGCCGACAGAATCGTGGGTTGATTTTTTTCTGTCGACGGTCTGGGCTTCTTTGTCGCGATGCGCGTAAATTGGAAACCATCGTCTTCTTCCTCATCAACAGGCACTACGCACGGGAAAAAATGAAAATTAGCACGTCCCGACCAAACCATCCAGAAAACCCGACAAGAATCGCTGTCTTTCAAAGCCACCCACATCCTCAAACCGAGGAAAATCTCAATCCATCCAAACAAGCAAAGCCACTCACCTAACTTCCTCTTCTTCTCCCCAGCACCTGTACCATTCGCAGTCGCACTCGCATTCTCCTCGCCTTTATCCTGTTTACTCAGCCGCCGACTCGATCGTCTGCCCCCGCCTCTTCCAGGCGCGGCAGGACGCGCCTGCGCCTGGGACGTAGCCATATCGATAGCCAGTAACGGTCCACGACGCTTCGTCTTAGCTGTAGTGGTGGTGGTGGTGGGCGTCGCCAGAACAGTGATGGTCATGTCAGGGACCGACAAAAGGGGGTGAGGATGTTCGATGTCGAGTCAATTGGCCTTCGTTCCTGGTCGGAGTTTTCGCACGTCCGGTCGCTCAATCGGATCTTTTCACATCTAAGATAACGCAACCTCGTCGGAAATTGTAGCGCATCCAGTGGGAGCGCAGGCCACGTCCAAGTCGGAAAAGTTTTGCGTACGTTGAATGTCGAATGAGAATGAGGAAAAAAAGATGATTATTCCGCGATGTCGTAACGGATTCTCCTCACTCCGACAGCAGATGCGATTCGAGTCGATCAATTGAGGGCCGGTCACCAAGCTATTTGTATTCTTTCAACAAGATAGCGCCGATGTCAATCACCGACGAAAGCGAAGTCTGGAATCGAAGTTGTCGAGGGCGGGCGGGTTTGGGTCGTCGGATGCTGCGTTTTCCTTTCCTCCGGCTGGCTCGTCGGTCGTCTTTGGGTGTAAGGCCCGGCTGGTATATCGCACGGTCGCAAATCGACAAGGCCAATCAGTGGAATCTGTATTGTTGATGGCGTAGGTGGATTGAATGAGAGGGGGTCGGGTTGAGAAGGTTTGTTGTCCGAGAGACGTGTGTTGTCGATGCGGGTTGCGCGCGAACCACCACCCGCACAGATTGTCCCGGGGCAGGTCGCGCTCGTAGGCAATTTCTCGGACGAGTAGTCAGCTCTCCCTCGGCGTCCGGCAGAGCTATCGCGATGGAATCCCGCTCCTTGCGCAGACGGAACTCTGATGCTGGCGTGGGGATGACGATTGGGGGGGGGGGTTTGGCCTTGGTCGGTCGGTCGGTCGCCGCAGGCACGCGGTTGTTTTGGTCGTGGCGCGTGGGGAGAAGGCGCTAGTCCTTTTCAGGATGACAACTTCCAGCTTGTCCCGCCAACTCGATTGCTACTATGACTTGGTGAGAAGCACCAAATGCCAGGATTTTGGTATATATAAACGAATTCATTCACATCTGGCATAATTACCTATATTCTTGTATCAAGACTATGTACAGTCCACCCACTTTTCAACACTCAGCCATGCCCATCACACCTCATACTTATAATCTTTTTTACAAAATGAGTTTCTCAATCGCTATGCAGGCTCCGGGCCTCTAAGCGTACCTGTCAACGCCCGAAAGAATAAGAAAAAAAAAATAAAGCAATATACCCCGCTTGGCAAAAAAGGCTGCAAGAATACAGAGCATATGTAACAAGATTACAATGCAGAACATAGTCTACGGGAGAGCAGGGACATCTTCAGTAGGCGGGGCCAGACTGCCTTCAATCCGACGCTTCGCAGACTGCATCTCCTCAAGAGAGATATCCTCGGATTTCTTGGGCATGTCCGGTTCGAACTGAGGAATATCGGGACGATGACCCACAGACATGCCGACCCGGATCTATTTTTGAGGAAAGGCCGTGTTAGCTTAAGAATCATGCGTAAGGAGCAGTAAGTGGTTGTCTTACCAAAGTTTCCAAGGGCCCCTTCGAGTTGTCCACCAAGTCACTGTCGAAATTAATCGACCCCTCCTCAAAGAGCAAAAGAATGGTACTTCCTCCAAATTTAAAGTAACCGAGCTCTTCGGCCCGTGAAACCTGCTCCCCAGCCTTTCGTGTAATGACTGTGCTTCCAACCATCATGGCTCCAACACAGACCACCATGACACGGCCATGAGCCGCGGAATCAATTGGCACGAGAACTCTCACGTTCTCGCCATACACGTCGAGAGCAGAGCGGATCGCCATGGGATTGACCGTGTAGTACTCACCCTCAATAGTCTTGGGGGTACCCATAACTCCGTCCACGGGGATATGGAAGCGATGATAATCTTGGGGAGCAAGACGGAAAACACCCAGTGCTCCATTCTTGTAGCGCTTCACATCTTCGGGGTAAGCATCGCCGAGGAGGCGTTCGATAGAGAATTCTCGACCTTTAACCCAGATATTAGTCGCTTCATCCATACGGTCGAATACAACCGCTCGACAATCAGCAGGTGACACAACAACTCTGGGCTCGTCCGGCGCTGAGCAGGGCCGGGCACCGGGTTTCAGTGCACGGTAGAAGAACTCGTTAAAGTTATTAAACTTCTCGATGGGCAACAAGACTTCGGACATATCAAGTTGGTGGAAGTTGATGAAGTCCCGGATCTGACTGGCAGACGCAGGATCATCGTACTTCTTGCCCTGCTTGATACTCATAGACTTCAAGATTTTGCGAACTATAACCATGGTTAGCGAGATCTTTTGAACAACAACCTTATCTCAGGTAATGAGACATACTTCTCTTCTTTTCCATTTCTCTGCTCTTAAGACCCTTGTACAGCAATCGGATACCCAATCGGACATAGACACTCATGCGCTCCTCATTGATTTGCCCAGTAATTCGGTCCTGGACAAGGATATTGGCCGAGTTGGCTCCCAGCTTGTAGCCACCATAACCAATCTTCGTGATGACTTTGGTGTACCATTTGCGCTGCGCCTGGCTGGAGGTCACGAAGCCTCCCATGACGAGGTTGTCCACCTGCCTCCAGTCCCGGCTTGCGCATGTGGCAATGTGCGTGATGATGTCGGCATCGGAACGAGAAGAGAGCCGCGGTTGATGGCAGAGGGGGCATTCTCGAAGCTCAATGACGTGCTCCACACCGCGTTCATCTCCCAAATCGTCAGGTTGAAGGTCTTCCTCAACCAAGCCCGGCTGCTCTTCGGTGGGTATGGTAGGAATATGTGTAGTCTGAGGGTCATGGTTGGCTGGCAGGCCAGCGTTAAGCCCTGCAATGAGCTCATCATCACCGCTCGACTGTTCCTCACTATCCTGGCTGATCGATGATGATGTGGGTGAAACCTTTCTGCCTGCCAGTCTCGGGTCTTTTTGGAGTGCCTGAAGGGTATCTTCTAGGCAGATCACGGCTTGATCAAAGGTCAGATCCATTGTTTCGCTGGGTTGATTTTCCAGACTGAAACGCTCGAAAAAACTGTCAATTGTGGACTCCTTCAAGGTGGAACCAAGAGTGTCAAGCATGGTAGTCAGTTCAACCTTGTCAATACGACCGCTATCGTCTGCATCGTATTGTTTGAGCATGAGTCTCCAGAATTGCTGGCGCAGGGCACGATACGGCATATATTTGGCCTTGACAATGAGTTCAGGCGAATGCTTGTCTTCCCATCTGTCCTTATTCTTCAAACTGAGTGGGATGCGATAAACTCGAAGCCCTTCGCTATCAGCCTCAAGCGGGGAGACGGTAAAGTTAGCTAGCGTAGGAGAGCTTGAGAGGCTGGGAGTCTCGGTGTCTTCCGGGACACTCCGAGGTGGAAGAAGAGTCGATTCTCCCTGCTGTGACTGGCCTGACAGGGACGTAGAAGAGCCCCTTGGTGACATGCCTAGTTTAGGTGATCTAGACAGGCTGCTGGTCGAGGGAGAGGGGCTGACCGAGATCTTCGGAGCTGGTCTCGCAGCAATGTCCGATTCAGAGCTCGTCAGATCAGGAGTCTGATTTGATAAATCGTACAAGCCAGTCTCAGGATCGGCGTTGGGAGCGGATTTGATCAAGGTCTGCAATGGAAATCCGGCCGACGCGACAAAGTCATTGCCAGAGAACTTGTCCCTGTCCATGACGGTGAAGCCGATCGTATAAGAAGTTTCATGCTTCATGACCTGGAACACCATTTTCTCGTTGTATACTGGATTAAGATTGTGACGAACAACCGGTGTTCGAAGCGTCTTTCTTCCGAGTGAGGTGACAACAAACGGGTCCATGTCGAAGGAGGTGCGCGTCACTTGATCAAGAATTAGCTCAACCATGACGAGTTTGAGGATGGGCAGAGGAGAACCATACCATTCCGTTCGGGCGGGAGGTCCGTCACCTTTACAATCTCCATGAACACGATACCTTGCACTCCATTTCCTATACCGGAAAACTGGTAGGCTCTTGCTGCCAAAGATTTCCGTTTCAGACGTTTAAGGCGCAGCCTCCTTCTTCGCTTTTCCACGATCTCTGGTTTGGTGGGGTCGTCCGTCTCATCCGACGTTTCTTCATCTCTGTCGACATCCTCTGGTGAAAACGAAGGTACCTGCGGGAACTCATCTTCGTCGTCCCCAGCACATACCAGGGTTCTGAATTTTTGATAGACTTCTTCCGCAGGGGCATTGGGGTTTGCCGGATCGATGAGAGAGAACTGCAGCAGGATTTCCCCAGAGATGATACTGTCCTTCTTCTTCGAAGACTTTCGTTTCGAGCGAAGAGTGTACCAGGTTGGCTGCAGGCATCATGTCAACTCGCACGTCCAGGTCAGTCGCGTTCCGGGAAAATGTACCTGTTGATGGACCTCGCCGCGGCTGAATATCTCCTCGAGGGCAATGTCGAATTCGCCCATATAGTCTTTGCCGAACCGATCATGATCCCAACAGATGCACTCCAATAGTGGTACGCCGACCACGGGCATCTCAAACGTGACGTTCCATTCTGGGTTCAGGGTCTTTGGTATCGTGGGTGTTGACTGTCGGGCCTCTCCAAGTGTGACTATCATGTACTGAACAACAAGGTGGCTCGTTAGCAAGCGATCAGCTGGTTCAATAGCTGGAATAGGTTTTATGCCATACCGGGTCGCTGGTTCCTCCTCTGTCCTTAGCTGCTAGATTCCTCCCCTAGTACAACCCAGCAGTCAGTAATGTCGAGGAATGCGGGCGGGACTTCCGAGCGGCTCCGCGAATCTGGGAAGTGCGGACTCACCCGAAGAACGGAGACCTTGAGGATCAAGGGCTTCGTGTCAGACATTCTCATGGGACTGGTACTTCTGCTTTGACCGGGAGTGGTATTGGTGCTTTTTGAGCTCAAATGAGTGCTGAGCCGTTGTGGCAACGGTAAGCGCACCATGATGATGGACCGTCGGAAAGTGCGGGGAGGGGAAGAAGACAGGCCAGACGGAGCCGGGGAGGTGACGTCGCGTCGATACTGAGGACGGGAAAATGATCGGAGAGTGGGATTATTTAGGGACGCGTTCGTGAGCAAACAGGGATATTAGGGGAAATTGCCTTGAAGGGGGCTAATCAGCATCTGGAGAAGGGAACAGGAGGAGGAGCTCCCCAGTCACAATGACGGAGAGTTGGTCGCGGTGGTTGCCTGTCAAGGTTGAGTGCCGGGCGATCTTAGGAAGATCTGGTGGCTCCGGGCGACCCAGCAATCCCACGAGCAAACCAGCACGGTCGCAACGCACTGCAATGAGCTTGGGGCAGAGGTAGGTATACGCACCTTGCGATTGACACCCTTTAGATATGGGAGATCAGGAGCATGGCGAGGAAAACACAGACAGTGATTGTTGAATGGTGGAAGAGTTGTGTGGAAGGATGGGGGGACGTGGACGTGGACGTGGACGTGGACGTGGACGTGGACGTGAACGTGAATGGGAAAGTTGACTGCGCGGCTGAGTGGGTGAGACCGAGTGGGTTGCGCATAGACTTTATTTCTTTAGTGTATGGCCTCCATCGAAGCACGGAGAAAAAGGAACAACAAGCCAGACGGACAGTCTAGATAGATAATGGACTAGATAGACCAGACTGTCCTCTCTCGTATATGAAGTGGGGTGGCCTCGATCGACTAGGAGGACATTGCCGGAATACGGAGGAGAGGAAAAAGAAAAAATAATCTAAAAAGTAATGAAAACAAGTACAAAGTACCGAGTACTCGAGGAAATGACAAGTTGACATTTAGCCAACTAGCCGATTTAGTGATTGAGTCTCATTGATTGATTCATTTTATTTATTCTTCTTCTTATCCTCGGCAACGCAGGACTACTTCGGAGAGCGGAAATAAGAAGTAAAGTTAGTTGTGGCCCTGCTTTTCTCTCCCCCACCCCAACCTCACCCCTAGAATTCACTCTTCGTTCTCTTCTTCCATGAATGATAATGCAGCTAGATGCATTTATCGCACTTATGCAAAGCATTTGTCCCCCTAAACTGGCTAATCTTGGTAGAGAGAGAACGACGTCAGGTCCGAGAAGTTAGTCTCATCTCCACCACTCAACGCAGTCGAGTGATCAGTGATTGTGGCTGCCTAGTCCAAATGAGTCGCTCTACATCACATCCCCAACTACAATGGGAGGTTATCTTCCTAAATATGGTACCGGTTCATGCTGCGGGAATTCTTTTCCTGTTCTCCCCTACCGAACGCATCTGCCATCCTTTCTGCTGCATCAACTGTAGGAGAATGAGAAGGAATTGAAGGAAGGGAAAAGGTCTGCCTGCGAGTGCTTCCACGGGACAGCCGATTGTCCTACTTTGTGGATGTCTATGGGTTTCTTGCTGCCTGGATAGACATCTTCCCAGAATAAAACCCCTCGGGGATCAGAATCAGGATCCCATGGAAGACTCCGTAATGGATTCCATCCTTGGCTTGCCTAAGCAGCAGTCAAAGTCCCCTGATTCCCTGAAGCAGGGCTGAGCGATCGTGTCCCCACTTCGAGTGTCAAAAAGGCTCCAGTAGGAACCGGCGGAAGGGCTGGAAGGGAGTTGTTGGGATGAGAAATCGCAATCTTGGATTGGACGATATTCTCTCTTTGCTTTGAAATATAGTCTACCATAATACGGTAGTATAGTTATAGTGTAAAGGAGGGGCGCCCGCTGACCAACGGGCCATTCCGCGGCCTCCGTACAACAGCGTCTCGTAACTTACCACCGTCGCAATGCAGACAAGCCTCCGTCCCAATCATCCAGCCCTATAGACTGGTAGGTACAGTGTGGAAGCATTCTGGCGGTTGAGATATTATAAACCTCCGGGCCTTAGGCTGCTTACCTTTGAATCTTGGCGATCAATTTGCATTTTTCTTGATTCGGGCCAGAGAGGAATATGAGCTCAGCCAACCTTTTGTGTTTCAGACCTGAGACGCGATCTTCCCCTGTAAATGTCTGTCAGGTTGGACACAACTTTATGCCAACCTGTAACCAACATCCCAACGAAAAATAGGGGCTGAAGCCTCAACCTCAAGAAAATACATGTTCTCAGCACATGTAAGCAGTCCTTTGAGCGAGATGCTGCTGGACCGCCATAGTGCTGATCGTAATCAGGCTTCGCCAATCGTTATTGCAGTCAAGCGCACCCCTTAATGCCAAGAGTGACACATAAGCTGTGGCTGTATGCGAGCTTTCGCATTGACAGCTCTGTTCGAAGAGATACTACTCGATTTAGACTATGAGGGTACTGGAGCTTAGCAAGTGCAAACGCTGGATGCCGTGGGGCTAAATCTGTCTGCCCTTCAGGCAAGTCGATTGAAGTCCTTTCCTATCTGTATCCCGCCTTTAACCCATCCAAGACTATGAGCCAACAATAGCGTTTCTGCAATAGGTCGGTTTAGTCTCTTCTCCGTCGATCAACCCTGCCCCAAACCTCATCGGAGCTGGTTTTGCCCTTGGTTTCAGGAACCCGCCAGTAAATGAACGCTCCGAAAAGACAGGCCATAGCAGCAAAGACCCAGTATATCCTGCCTCGATCCAGAGCCTGGTTCAAGACAGGGAAGAATTGCGCCACAATGAATGTCGCAATCCAATTGGCCGCAAGCGCCCAGCTCTGTGCGGCGCCCACAGCCTCCGGACCAACCAGCTCAGACGCAAGGATAAAAGGCACAGGACCGACACCGACAGCAAAGCAGGCCACAAACAGTAGCACAGCGATTGCAGACAAGGCTTTCTGGCTGGTGTATATACCCAGAGCTAAGAGCAAGGAGTTTACCCCCATGCCGCTGATGCTAAGCAGAAGGCATTTCTTACGCCCGATCTTGTCGGGCAAAGGAGTGCAGGCAAGTGTGATGACCAAGTTGATGCCCGAGATGGCCACTGCCAGTAGGGCTGCGGTAGTAGGAAGGATGCTCTGTAGAAGCGAGACGCTGTACATGATGATGCTGTTGATCCCCGTGAATTGCTGGGCAATCATGACACCAACGACGGCAACAATAGCTGGTCGATAGTAAGAATCTGTGACGGCTCTGAGGATGGTGACTGGTGGCTGCGTCGGTGGCATATTGCTCGATGGTGGTGTCAGCAGCGACTGCTCCTCTCCCGAGCCATCTGCAGCATCAACGGAGGAACTGGACCAGCTTTTGACCTCCTCTTCAATATCAGCATCCTTCCCGCGTAGACGCTGAAGTACCTTCCTAGCCAAGCTGCCCTTCTGATGCTCCGCAAGCCAGGTGGGACTCTCCGGGACCAGAAAGAGTCCCAGAAGCTGCAGAGCCCCGATGAAGCCGGCGACGGCAAGAACGACCCTCCACACATTTCCGTAACTCAAGAAGTATCCCAGCGTTTGTGTGAGCAGAATCCCGACGTTCGTCATGACTTGCGTGAAGCCGCCGAAGAAGCCCCTTGCGGCAGGAGGGGCTATTTCGGAAACATAAATTGGACCAACAACAATAGCAGCCCCGGATCCGACTCCTGATAGGAAGCGGCCCAGACTCAGCAACGGTATGTTGGATGCGAAGGTCTCAGCTACGGGACCTAAGATATGAAAGATAGTCGTAGCGCGGAGGGTGGATAAACGACCGTGTTTGGTGGATACTGGCCCTGCCAGCAGAGCTCCGACTAGGCCACCAAGGGTGTAAATCGAGGATACCAGGCCGAACTGGGACGGGTTCATAGGGATGCATTGCGGAAGTGAAGCTGCACTTGTAGTGGAGTGAATGCTCTTCTGCTCGCAAGTGATGACGGCTTGAGGTGCGTTTAATTCAGCCTTGACGGGTCTTCAAGTCAGCAAAGAAAGTTAGATGGAAAGATGAAATGGCTCCCGATGCCTACCAGGTGATATCCGAATTGCAGCGGTCCTAGGGTGGTTATGAACACGAGATAGACCAAGTACGGCGTGACCCTAGATCGGGTCGACTCCCCTGAAGCCATTCTATGGTTGAAAATTGGAAACTGCAAGGATATTCCTCGTTCAATAAGCAAGTAGTCGACCAATGGAGCCTTTCAAGTAGGTTTTTTCGGTCCAGTCATCACCGATGTCACAAAAAGGAGGGTTGTTGCTGAACGCCGAGCTGCGTTTAGATGACGTTGCGGCTATCAGTATGCATCGGGAGAAGGAAAGTCCGTTTGTCTTATCACCGACTCAGGGGCCGGGGTTGATAGGGAGTTTGCTACAGAGTAGCAATGTGAGCATTGAGGTACTCTGTAAGGAGTCTGAGTTCTGTGCCTTGACTAGACAGGCAAGTAACTATGTGTAGTGGATGGTTACACATGTATACACGTAACTATTGTTTGTTCTTGTTGGTTGTTGATGCTGCTGCTGCTGCTGTTGTTGTTGTTGTTCTTATCAACCAGGGGATCGATCTTCTGCTGAGTCAGTCACGCTCCCCCTCTCCCTCCGAGAGTCTCAATGCAGCCTCACTTGAATGGTCACGTCTCTGGCCCTTTCTCACCACCAACCATTGTTGCTCATTTCTAAGTCATACCTAACCTACCTACCTAATCATCAAGTCTTTTCCTGCAGGTCTTATGCTCTTCTCATAGTGGTGGAGATCAGTGTCTCCGTATGCATGATTCACCTCACTGTCCTTGCCGACTGCGAATAGTTACTTCCCTTCATCCAACAAGCTACTGCTACTACTCCCCGTACTAACCAGTTCAATCGAACCACACCACACCAATTCTCTCCCGGGCATTCCCCCCTCTCACATCCACTTCTTCTTTTCTTCTTTTTCTCTTCTTCTCTCTCCCTTTCTTCCATGAGCCTGACGAACCCCCCTTCCTCATCCGGTCCTCTAAGTGCGACTTCCAGGCCTACTGCGGCCACCCTCAGCCAAAGTCTGTCTCTAAAGAACTTGAAGAGTCTGCAGGCTACTGTTGATGGTAATCCCCGGCCATAATTCATTATCCATTCATACTCGTACATACATACCTACTCAGTACTCCGTACTCATACATTATTACCCTATCTATTTATTTTATTCTTCTTCGTCTTCGTCTTCTTGTGCTTCTCCACTGCTTCCAAGTTCCAACCCACCCAGACTCCGTTAGCACCCCGTCTGTCTCCACCTTTTGCCACCACTCAGTTCTCCAAGCGCCCTTCTACTTTCTTGACCTGGGCCCATCACTATCACGATGTCCACTGGTTGATGATTGAAGAGTGTTAGTTCTAAATTACTATTTCTTTGGTGGCATCATTAAATGTACCCGAGCTATACTATAGCTCTCGAGCTTCCTGAACGGGTTTGAACAAAAGAACTGTCTAGTGCCTCCATCATGTTTGGCAAGAGCTTTCCGTTCTATAATTCTGTCGCCGGGTTTTATCCACGTGGTAATTGCTGTCCCTTCGATCTCCGACCCTCTTGTTGCCGGCTACACGCTGCTGCTATACGCTATACCCTCACTTGTTGAAATTGTCTACCTTGCTGTCAGCAATCTCGGGTTGACTATTTTTTTTCTCTCTGTCCCCCAAGACTCTTGCTTCTAAGTTCCGATTGGCTGATGGGTTGTCACCGAGGAATACTCTCACTGTGAGTGCTAACATAATTTTCTATACTTAGAAAGCACAGATTCGCGACGGCCGCCAGGGACCGGTTACACCAGTAAAGTCCGAGTGCGAGATAGATACCACATTGTGGGTTTCATCAGCAGCGGTACATATGGCCGAGTCTACAAGGCGATCGGCAAGAATGGCCAGAAGGGCGAGTTCGCCATCAAGAAGTAAGTAGATTGCGGAGGCCTTCACTTCCATCAATTCGCTCGTCGCTGACCGACTACAGGTTCAAGCCGGACAAGGAAGGGGAGGTAGTCCAGTACACTGGTCTCTCGCAGTCCGCGATCCGAGAGATGGCTCTGTGCTCCGAGCTTGACCATGCCAATGTGGTGCAACTGGCCGAGATCATCCTGGAAGACAAGTGCATCTTCATGGTGTTCGAGTACACGGAGCACGATCTCCTGCAGATCATCCACCACCACACGCAACCGCAGAGACATGCGATCCCAGCGGCGATGGTCAAATCGATCCTGTTCCAGCTGCTGAACGGCCTCCTCTATCTCCACACCAACTGGGTGCTGCATCGAGATCTCAAGCCCGCGAACATCCTGGTCACATCCAGCGGCGCCATCCGCATCGGGGATCTCGGGCTCGCCCGCCTCTTCTACAAGCCCCTCAACTCCCTCTTCTCGGGTGACAAAGTCGTCGTCACGATCTGGTATCGTGCCCCCGAGCTCCTCATGGGAAGCCGGCACTACACGCCCGCGGTGGATCTGTGGGCGGTGGGGTGCATCTTCGCGGAGCTGCTCTCGCTGCGGCCCATCTTCAAGGGCGAGGAGGCCAAGATGGACAGCAAGAAGACGGTGCCCTTCCAGCGCAACCAGATGATGAAGATCATGGAGATCATGGGCCTGCCGACCAAGGAGACCTGGCCGGGCATCGTCTCAATGCCGGAGTACGCCCAGCTCCAGTCCCTGGCCGTGTCGCGGGCCCCCGGCCATTTCAGCCGCTCCTCGAACCTCGAGGGCTGGTACCAAAGCTGCCTCAAGAACAACGGGTACTCCGCCAACGCGAGTGCGGGCACCCCCGGCGCGGACGGCTACGACCTGCTGGCCCGGCTGCTCGAGTACGACCCCACCAAGAGGATCACCGCCCAGGAGGCCCTGGAGCACCCGTACTTCCGCAGTGGCGGCGCCATCTCGGCCAACTGCTTCGAGGGGTTCGAGGGCAAATACCCGCACCGCCGGGTCACGCAGGACGACAATGACATCCGCTCCGGCAGCCTGCCCGGCACCAAGCGGAGTGGCCTGCCGGACGATACATTGATGGGGCGAGCGGCGAAACGCCTGAAGGAGTGATCGGGATCGCCGTCTGAATATCTTGAAATATAGTCTCTGCATATGGGCATGGCGTTCAGGTCGCTGTAATTAACGGGTACGAAATACATAGCAACGCATTTAGATGGAATACAACATAAGCACATAGTACTGTACAATCTGCACCTGACTTCGAGTATCTGGGCTCACCGTAGGGCGATGCCTTCCTAGACCAAGCAAAAAGAACACACATTACAAACACCATTACACGAATTCTATTCGTGAGATAGATAGATAGATAGTCAAAGATAAATGAATCTGCTCCTATTTGAAACCCAACCACGCCGTTCCCATTCAATCGTGCCATTTCCCATATCATGTGGTCCTGAATGAGTATCCCAAATCATTCTGCAACTGCAACTGCAACTATTAGACCTCATAAATCCCCAACCCAACCATATCTGACCGGTTAGATCAAGTAGATACCAAGAGTAAACTCAGTAACCTATAACCCCGCATAATTAGCAACCACAACAATGATCAACTGAAAATTGGAGAAAATGTCGAGGAGAAGAGGAAAACATACCATTCTGCTCCCTCCGACTATCCCCATCGTTCCCACCACCGCCACCGCCGGTATCACCACCACCGGAAGAAGCCTGGCCCGCGGCGGCGGCCTCCCGGATATGCTGGTCATCGCCGCGCAGCTTCTCGAAGTAGGCCTTGATGTCCTCGGCGGAGACGGCGGTGCCGCTCTCGGCGAAGGGCTTCAGGAACTCCTTGACCCGGTCGCGGAGGTGGTTGTAGACCATGGCGCCCTCGATGGCGCGCACGCGGTCGATGTTGCTGAGCGCCGCCTCGCCGCGGTCGAGCAGGCTGCCCGTGCCCGTGCTGCGGGCGCCGTCGCCGTGCTGGTGGTCCCCGTCCTCCGACACGGGCGGCTCGTAGGCCTCCTCCTCCTCGCGGAGTTGCGGGTGCGCGGCGAGGGTGTGCGGGTAGCAGTCTGGGCAGCGGCAGAAATGATCGCGGAAGGTTTCGGTGAGGAAGAGGGAGAAGGTCTGGGGGGGCGGGATAGTGGGGAGGGTGGTGTGTTTGGGGGCGTTAGGTTGGTCGGGTTGGGGTTGGGAAGAGGAAGATGGTGAAGCGGTGTTGGTGGTGGTGGTTGGTGCTGTGACGGTGTCGGTATTGGTGCCGGTGGATTCGGACGTCTCCTCGTCCTTGATGCGCTTTGCGGCGGGCTCGGCTGTGGGTTGTGGTTCAACGTCGTCGTCGTCGTCGGCTTTGCGTTTCTTGGAGTTGAGGGTAGGCTCAGATTGCGCGCTGGTGGTGACGGGGTTGATTGGTTCTGCAGTCGTCGGTTCTTTGTCTGTCGCTTCGGCGGATTTGGCTTCGGATGCGATTGGTTTGGCCAGTCCACCTTCTTTGAAGACGGGGGGAAGGAAGCCGGTTGTCCCCGCGTAGCGCTTCAACCACGGATTCGAGTCAACGCATTTGTAGCAGATGAACATGTCGAAGTCAGCTTCTTCGGGGAACCCGGGTGGGAGGGGCGTCTCCTCGTCGTCGTCATCATCAACTTCGTCGCTTTTGTTGTTGTTGTTGTTGTTGTTGTTGTTGTTGTTGTTGTTGTTGTTGTTGTTGTTGTTGTTGTTGTTGTTGTTGTTGTTGTTGTCGTTGTCGTCACCATTCTCCGCTGCTACCGCATCTTCAGCTTTCAGTTCCTTCTGCTTCTCTTTTTCCTGCTGCTTTGCGTTCTTGTACCAGTCGCGCGAAAGCCCGATCAGGCACTCTGGATGCCACCAGTCCTCGCCGCAGCCGCCTGTCTCGACAGTCCCCACACCCAAGCACTGGAACATCGTTCCCCGCTCCTGATTGGGGTCATAGTCCTCGTCGCAGCCGCAGAACCTATTCTGGAAGTTGTGGTTGTATTTGTTGCCCGGGTGAGGTTCCTCGGAGTGGACGCCTTTCGCGCCGGTGTGCGGGTCATTGCGCAGCGTGCAGGGCGAGCTCGATGGCATCCGGGTTGTCCCGCAGTCGCAGACAAAGTTGCGCTTGCTGAATAGCTCGACGAGGTTGTGTTCCCCGTGGCAGGCGATGGAGCAGGAATAGCATACGGCGGCTGGTGTGTATGATGCATTCTCGTCGGAGGATGCGGTAGGAGGGGGGTTACAGGTGAGGCAGGCGAAGAGGGATTGTCGGAGGGGACCTAGAGCTTTGGTGCAGGTATCGAAGGACTGCGCCTGTCAGTACGATGTGTGATATGCGACAGTCGATCCATCGTCGTTAGGTTGTCTGGTTGGGAGTAGAAGGGCAGGCTCACGTAGGGAAGGATCTCGCGCGCATCAGCTTCGAGGCGAATTTGAGACTCGATGAATCTGACAGACAAGACTCGTCAGTACTCGGATATCTTTAAAGACATTCCGACAGTGTATGCCGTGCGAAACAGAATTGAAAACCTTACTGTCTGGCAGTCTGCGAGTTCTGGGAGCTGAAGCTTTCGCGACGGTTGATGGGATCCTGGGCATCTTTCGGCGGCCCATTGCTGGGAGCCGGTTTGGATGCCTCTGAATCGGCCATGTTCTTGTGTCTGAGTTGTGGTGAGTAGCTCTATAGGTCAGCGGAGGGAGGAGTTTATTTGACTGAAGAAGAGGGTTGTGGTAAATTAAACGGTGGTCTGGTTCTGCTCAGCCTTCGAGGAAGCTCGAAGCGCGCGCGGCGCAAGGCGATTTAAGTGTTTGCCCCGTTTGCATGACCTCACCTCTGCTGCTCGATGACGGCTACTTCGGGCCGGTAACTTGAAGCTCATATTGCTTGCCAGATGCTGGCTTTACTCAAAGAAAAGGTATGAGCTTAACAATTCCGAATTCAACACAGTACCTCGAAGCAATGTAGTTAATATGTACAGTACCGTGTGCGAAGTCCCTGCTACTGTAGAGTGATGCGGCAGCACCGCAATATTCAGGCCGCTTAAATTGACCCCATAGCAAGGAAGGTCAATGCATTCATACCGCTTGACATTCTATCTAGCTTGATTTCCCCGTCACTTTCGAGTATCCATAATGTTCTAGACGGTATAATTATAGGTACAGGCCGGAGTGCTGAGCTGTCGACTAACGCCAGTCTGGGTGGCGCTTCTCTTTCCCGATCGGGGTTTAATTGGTTTTCGGACGCGTTTGGGTCGCGCTCCGACGCGTTTCTGCCGCGCATCAACACCGCCTGATGGATTTCCCTGCCAACGGATGAAAAAAAGGCACCCGCACTACAACCTCCGTGCGGTAATCCCTTCAATCCACCCCCCACATACTGCCGGTCAGAAACACCAGACACAATGAGGTATGTTTACTCTATCGATACGTGAATGGTCACATATTCGATCATTTTTCTTCTCCCGTAACTCCTTCCACTAATATTCATCATGGCACTTCAGTTCACCACTACGCCCAAGCCATTCGGCCGCAAATCGCGGCCTAGGAAACCTCGGTCGACGCAAGAGAGACAGAGAACCCGATGATGAGACTTCATCGGTCGCTCCTCCTTCGAGTCGTAAGTCTCAGATGATTTTGATTGTTTGATATCGGCAACGTGCGCATGCTAACTCTTGCCACAGCTCCCCCTTCGTCACCTCCTATGCTCCCTTTCGACGAGGATGACAATGAAGGAGATGAAGAGGCTGACATGCTGGGCGACATCGACGATCTTGATGAGATGGCGGAAGATGAAGATGGCATTGACCTGTTCGGTGATACCTTTGAGAAAGATTACAGAAGCACACAAGACCAGCAATACCGCGGAACATACATCGACGATGAAGGCGACCACGAGGAGCTGGATATGGCCACTCGTCGTCAGCTGGAAGCTCGCCTGAACAAGAGAGACCGGGAACTGGAGCGCCGTCGCCGCATGCCTGCTGCCTTCTTGCAGGACGATGAAGATGCCGAAGTCGATCTCACTCGCCAGCCCCGTCGGCGCAGACACCACTACGATGAGGATCGGGAGGACGTTGAGATGGGCGACGATGTCATGGAAGAGCTCTCCCTGGAGGAGTTGACCGACGTCAAGGCTCCGAACATCACCGACTGGGTTCTTCAGCCCCAAGTCCTGCGCTCCATCTACCGCGAGTTCAAGGCCTTCCTCACGGAATTCACCGACCCTACTGGTAGTTCCGTGTACGGTAACAAGATTAAGACCCTTGGTGAGGTGAACTCCGCATCGCTAGAGGTCAGCTATGTGCATCTTCTCAACACCAAGGCTGCTCTTGCATACTTCCTCGCCAACGAGCCGACTGAGGTTTTGAAGGTCTTCGATCAAGTTGCCCTCGACGTGACTCTGTTCCACTACCCGCAATACCACGACATCCACAACGAGATTCATGTCCGTATCACGGACCTCCCCGTCATTTACACCCTCCGCCAACTCCGCCAGTCCCACCTCAACTGCCTTCTGCGTGTCAGCGGTGTCGTCACTCGCCGCACTGGTGTCTTCCCCCAGATGAAGTATGTTATGTTCATTTGCGGGAAGTGTCGGACACACCTGGGTCCCTTCCAGCAGGAAGCCAGTGCGGAAGTCAAGATCACATTCTGTCAGAACTGTCAGGCCAAGGGACCTTTTACCGTTCACTCCGAGAAGACAGTGTACCGCAACTACCAGAAGTTGACCCTGCAGGAATCCCCTGGCTCTGTTCCCGCCGGTCGTCTCCCCCGCCAGCGCGAGATCGTTCTTCTTGCTGATCTCATCGACTCGGCCAAGCCTGGTGATGAGATCGAGGTTACCGGTATCTACCGCAACAGCTACGATGCGCAGCTCAACAACAAGAACGGATTCCCCGTCTTCGCCACGATCATCGAGGCCAATCACATCGTCAAGTCTCACGACCAGCTGGCTGGTTTCCACCTGACGGAAGAGGATGAGCGGGAAATTCGTGCCCTGTCCAGAGATCCTGAGATTGTCGACAAGATCGTTCGCTCGATTGCCCCCAGTATCTACGGTCACCTGGACGTCAAGACCGCCATCGCGTTGTCCCTCTTCGGTGGAGTCAGCAAGCAGGCCCAAGGCAAGATGTCCATCCGTGGAGATATCAACGTGCTGCTGCTCGGTGACCCCGGTACCGCCAAGTCCCAGTTCCTGAAATACACCGAGAAGACGGCACACCGAGCCGTATTCGCCACGGGTCAGGGTGCTAGTGCCGTCGGTTTGACGGCCAGTGTCCGGCGAGACCCCTTGACCAGCGAGTGGACGCTGGAAGGAGGTGCTCTCGTGTTGGCGGACCGCGGTACCTGCCTGATTGACGAGTTCGACAAGATGAACGACCAGGACCGGACCTCGATCCATGAGGCCATGGAACAGCAGACGATCTCCATCTCCAAGGCCGGTATCGTCACGACGCTGCAAGCGCGCTGTGCCGTCGTGGCCGCCGCCAACCCGATCGGCGGCCGCTACAACAGCTCCGCCCCGTTCTCACACAACGTCCAACTCACCGAACCCATCCTGTCTCGTTTCGACATCCTGTGCGTGGTCCGCGACTTGGTTGACCCCACTGAGGACGAGCGCCTGGCCAACTTCGTCGTGGAATCGCACTCGCGCGCCAACCCGTCCCGCCCTCTCCGCGATGAGGACGGCAACCTGGTCAACGCAGACGGCCACCCCATCGACGAAGAGGGCTACCGCATCAACAAGAAGACCAAGGAGCGCCTCTCGCCCACCCAGGAGGAGCTTGCCGCGCGCGACGCCGAGGCCCGCAAGCGCGAGGAGGAGAAAGAGGGTGAAATCCCGCAAGAGCTGCTCCGCAAGTACATTCTGTATGCCCGGGAACGGTGCCATCCGAAGCTCTACCAGATCGATCAAGACAAGATCGCCCGTCTCTTTGCCGACATGCGCCGTGAGTCTCTGGTCACGGGCGCTTATCCGATTACCGTAAGCTTCCCTTCGTCAAGAAAATCAGCACAACAAACTAACATCACCCCTCAAACAGGTCCGTCACCTCGAAGCCATCATGCGTATCGCCGAATCCTTCTGCAAGATGCGTCTCTCGGAGTACTGTTCCGCCCAGGACATCGACCGCGCCATCGCCGTCACCGTCGACTCGTTCATCGGCAGCCAAAAAGTCAGCTGCAAGAAGGCTCTTTCCCGCGCATTCGCCAAGTACGTTGTTGCCCTTTCCCGGTCCAAAGCACCCCTCCAAGAAAACAATCACTGACCCAAATTCTTCCCAAATAGGTACACCCTCTCCCGCCCCAAGCCGCAATCCCGTCGCAAAGCAGGCATCCCCGCCCCAGACCCATTCCGCCCGAGAATGTCGTCCGTTCGGCCTCGGTAGAGGATTTGCTTTTCGATGTTAAATGGGCCATCCGAATGATTCCCGCATGTCTTTCCGTCTGCTAACCCTCCCCTCGATGCAATTCGGGGCTGGGTAGGTCCAGGACAAGAAAACTTACCGTGGGGATATCTTACGGCACGGCACTTTTTTTTTCTTTTTCTAATGGGATGAAACGATCGATCTATCTATCTATGTTATTCGGTTCTTGGGAAACGTCTTTTTCACTGTCATGAATTTATTAGTATGCGTGTGGCGAGGAGGAGTTCGGGTTTTTGAATCATAGGGCCGGGGGAAATGGGGGCTTTGTTTTCTATCTGTTATCTTATCTTTTGTTGAAATATCTCTGATGTGATCTGATGTGATCTGATATGGGGAGCATTCCCCGGAAAGAGCAAGCATATACCTAACTTACCTACTAACTTACTTATTGACCTTACTTACTTACCTTCCTCATCAACCTATTAGATTAATCAGTTTCCTGAACTATTCTTAGAGGTTAAGCTTATCGAATCAGTATCTGACTTACTATCTTGTTTCTATCTAACATGGAAGTTGGGAGTGTGCAGAATTACATTACTAAATCATCGATGTTTTATCAGAAGAGAGGGGGAGGGCGAGTGAAACATCAATTTGAAGCGTAGATATGTATGTGCACGGTATTCAGTTGTCAAGGGGCGGAGGGGAAAGGGAAGGGCTAAAGTAACTAACTGTAGTTACGCGTAGGTCCGTCCTGTGTGACTGGAGGGTGGAAAGGAAAGTCTTTCTTATGCGGGTAGTGCTGAAGAACCCCCTAACTAGGGGCTAAGTTGTATGATAGCTAGTAGCCATCACCGCGAGCCCTGGCAGAGAATGACATGTGATGGTAAGAGGATAGTATCAAGGCACCTACATATGTTGTAGGGTACTTGATTGAGGATTTCTCTGTTCAGCAGTGGGTAAACAAGGGAAGAGTCGGATATACTAGGCAGGAAGTAGTGCTAGGTGAACGAAGCTTGCATCTTTGATTCGGCTAAAAGTACTGCGTGAAAGTACTTGACAAAAACACAATCCCTGGGAGGGAGAAATGAGAACAAGGGCCAAGTAGTCTGGGAGAAGGGAGAAGAAAACCATGCTTGTTACTTGCTTGGCAGACAAGCGCAGTACAGCACATCCGAATATCCTGACCAATCGCTTTCATCTGATTGATGTAATACATACATTCTTAACCCCAACCTCTTCGCAACACCGGTCTCGCTCAATAAGGCCAAGCCGTCATCTGCTATCTCGCGTCGCTCATGGATGGTCGCTCTCGAAGATTGCCGTCTCTTCCAAGTTACGTCAATCTATTGGGTCTCATGCTTCCTTAATGGTTCCAT